CCTAAGCCTGGCCCCTCTCTCCTCCTCTCAGGCCCCTCGCTCACCACCTTTCCACAGACACCCAGGGCCTCATTTTCAGTTTCCTAAAAGGGATGTGTTCTGTTGCATCCAGGCAGTTGCTCATGCTGTCCCTCTGCCTGGAATGTCCTTTTTCTCTTTTCAACCCTGGCAGTTGAGCTCTTCCTTCAGCTGAAACGGCTTGGAGTCTAGGTCCCCTGGGTGGGGTGCTGCTCTTGCTTCATCTGCTTCCCTCATTTCCCCCATCAAGGCCTGTGATCAGGTTGAGTACTGACTGGTTTGTTTCTCTGCTGATGGTTTGGTCAGGGCTGGGTAGATGGCTCTAGCACAGAGCACAGTGTTCAGCCAGGATCACACCAGACCCCGGCCCCGCCCAGCGCCACCTCCTCTCCCTGCATCCCCAGGAGCTGGACATGAGTGACTTCGAGGAGCAGTTCAAGACTAAGTCCCAAGGTCCCAGCGTAGACCTTAGTGCTCTCAAGAGTAAAGCAGCCCAGAAGGCCCCCAGCAAAGCCACGCTCATCGAGGCCAACCGGGCCAAGAACCTGGCCATCACCCTGCGCAAGGGCAACCTGGGGGCAGATCGCATCTGCCAGGCAATCGAGACGTGAGTACCTCTGCCCTGGGCTTGTGGGAAGCCCAGCCCCTCTGCTAGAACGGGGTTGTTGGGCAGATCCTAGTAAGAGAGTCCCAGCTATGGGACAGAATCCATCAAGTTCATACCAACGCTGGTCAGAGGGTAGAGGAGGAAACTGTTCCCATTTTCAGGTTAAGAAAACTGAGGTCATGCTGTGATTCCGTGCCCAGGTGGAGATGTTCCTTTTGTTTTCTTGCTTCCTTGCACTCAGCTCAGGCACTTACAGCTTGGGTATCTGGGATTCCGGGCTTCCTAGCTTCCATCTTCCTCTGACTCTTATCTCTTATTCTCTTAAGCTGTTGGTAACAGCAAATATTTGAGTTCATTTATTCGATCAAGTGATGGGGTAGGGGTAGTCCTGCTCTCAAGAACTGGTGGTGTGGAGTGATGCCGACCCCTCCCCTCACAGGTATGACCTGCAGACCCTTGGCCTGGACTTCCTGGAGCTGCTGACCCGCTTCCTGCCCACAGAGTATGAGCGCAGCCTCATCACCCGTTTCGAGCGGGAGCAGCGACCAATAGAGGAGCTGTCAGAGGAGGACCGCTTCATGCTGCGCTTCAGCCGCATCCCCCGCCTGCCCGAACGCATGAACACGCTCACCTTCCTGGGCAACTTCCCAGATACTGCCCAGATGCTCATGCCGGTGTGCGCGGGCTGGCAGGGTGGTGTGGCCTGGTCTGGGATGGGGGAGGAGGCAGCTGGCAGCCTGGTCTCCAAGAGGGCATCTGAGAGTTCTGGAGCCTCCTACCGGCTTCCCCCTCACTCCTGCCCCTACTTACCATGCCTTCCCCATCCCGCCCCCAGCAACTGAATGCCATCATTGCAGCCTCAATGTCCATCAAGTCGTCGGACAAACTCCGCCAGATCCTGGAGGTGAGACCCTAGGGCAAGGGTCTAGGAGGCAGAGACCACCCGTGATGGCTTGTGTGTTCTGGGTTGTGTGAGAGGGAGACCCAGGCCCTGCCCTGTGACCCTGGGCTGCACCCACTGTAAGGTTCTCACTTCTCACTTTTGGTGGTGGTGGCAGTCACAGTAGCTTTGTTTGTTGATTTTGTTGTTGGTGGTGTTTACATAGTTTTTGGTGGTGTTGTGTCCAGGCTCAGGACGACAATGCTAAGGTGGGGTTGGGGGCCACATTCCAACAGCCCATCTCACACCCTGCCTGAGGGTTCATTAGCAGAGCCTTCTATTGTCTGAGAACCAATAGAAATGACTGAGAGTCTCGACCCCACAGCCTCAGAAGATGTGTGGGCAGCACAGACTTGAGTAGGAATAGGTGGCTAGGTGGTAAAGAATCTGCCTGCCAATGCAGGAAACGCAAGAGATGTGGGTTTGATCCCTGAGTCAGGAAGATCCCCTGGAGCAGGAAATGGCAACCCGCTCCTATGTTCTTGCCTGGGAAAATTCCATGGGCAGAGAAGCCTGGGGGGCTATAGTCCATGGGGTTGAAAAGAGTCAGACATGACTGACTGAGCAAGCATAGCACAGCAGATGACCAAACTGCGTGTGCTATGCTGCTAGCTATGCACTTGTGTTAAACACGTGTATACGTGTGTCACGGACCCGAGGCATCCATGCAGGAGTGTGGTGGCTGCTGAGCGTAGGGCTTGTTCCTGGCCACGTTGTCTTCTTGTGCAATTTATACTTTAGGGGGTTTCCTCAGCCCCGGCACCCGACTGAGCTCCCTACCACCCACCTGTCCCACCTCTTGCAGATTGTCCTGGCTTTTGGCAACTACATGAATAGTAGCAAGCGTGGAGCAGCCTATGGCTTCCGGCTCCAGAGTCTGGATGCGGTAAAGAGGGGGGGAAGGAGGGGGCCCCCTGACCTTCGGGATGGGGGATGGCTGGGGGCGTGTGGCTTACAGCAGGTCCTCATTGCAGCTGTTGGAGATGAAGTCGACGGACCGCAAGCAGACGCTGCTGCATTACTTGGTGAAGGTCATTGCTGAAAAGTACCCACAGCTCACAGGTTTCCACAGTGACCTCCACTTTCTGGACAAGGCTGGCTCAGGTATGGGTGGGGGGCGGATACAGGTTGGGAGAGAGCCGGGGGAGCTCAGAATGTCATGGGATGGGAATGCTGCCTCTCTGATTCTTTGCTTCTCTACTGTCCCACTCAGTGTCCCTGGACAGCGTGCTGGGGGATGTCCGCTCCCTGCAGCGAGGCCTGGAGTTGACCCAGCGTGAGTTTGTGAGGCAGGATGACTGTGTGGTGCTCAAGGAGTTCCTGAGGATCAACTCACCAGTCATGGATAAACTGCTGGCAGACAGCAAGACAGCTCAGGTGGGCTGGGGCTGGCCCCAGCCAGGGAGGCGGGGAGGCTGGGGTGGGGGCGAAGGACCACCTAGGTAGGGTTGTGTAGCCAAGGCCTGGAGCCCTGTGACCCAGCAAGAATGCCTTAGGGGATGGGGCAGGAGGGAGCAGCCACCTGCCTAGAGGAGGAGAGATGAAGTGGCCAGTGTCTTAGCGGGTACAGAGCAGTAGTCAGGACCCAAGGGGTCTGGGCTGGTGGGGCTGACAGCCTGTGCCCACAGGAAGCCTACGAGTCTGTGGTGGAGTACTTCGGAGAGAACCCCAAGACCACATCCCCCTCCATGTTCTTCTCCCTCTTTAGTCGCTTCATCAAAGCCTATAAGGTATGTTTGTTTGATGGGCAGGCTGGGACCCATGCGGGGCATTGCAGCCTCTCCACATGGGCAGTGGGAGGGGTGGGGGCTATTTCTGCTGGAAGTGGACTAGGGAAGGGATGACTCCCCTCATGCAGACCCACCTTGGCTCCTCAGAAAGCCGAGCAGGAGGTGGAACAGTGGAAGAAAGAAGCAACTGCCCAGGAGGCAGGCACCGACATCGCGGGGAAAGGGGAGCCCCAAGCACCCAAGGTAGGCAGCTATTGCTGAACTTGGTACTGGGATCTAGCGAAGCTGATGCTCGGTATCTTCATCCCAGAGATCTGGTCCTCCTCCACACCCTCGTTTTTATGGACTGACCCTGCCCAAGGCCAGAATGCCTCTGTAGCCTGTGGTGGGGAATGGGTTCCTTTTCCTCATGCCAGCTGTTCTTATTGTGGGGGACCAGGCAGGTGGTCTAGGGTTTAGTGGCACAGGAGGGCAGGGGATCCTGGAGCTGGAGTTATATACCCTTGCCCTCCCCCCAGTCCCCTCCCAAGGTCCGGCGGCAACAGATGGACCTCATCTCTGAGCTGAAGCGGAAGCAGCAGAAAGAGCCACTCATCTATGAGAGTGATCGTGATGGGGCCATTGAAGATATCATCACAGGTGGGGGCTTGGCAGGGGCTGTCCTGTCCTCGATCTGTCCTACGCTGTCTTCCATCCACCCCCCAACCCTGGGGGGGTCGGGATCTGTCTGCCTCACTGCCTCTTTGCTACTTTTTCTGTCTTTTTCCCTTTTTCCTTTCTCTCTTGGCTCCTTCCTTCCAACCCTTAGTGCTCAAGACGGTGCCCTTCACTGCTCGCACCGGCAAGAGGACGTCCAGGCTCCTCTATGAGGCCAGCCTGGGAGAGGAGATACCCCTCTAGCCCCCAGGTACCCACCAGCCCGGCCTCAGATCCCAATGGCTGACTCACAGCCCTGCGGGCTCCTGGGGGGTCTGAGTCGTGCTGCCCTCCCCTGGGCCAGGCACGGGGCTGGGGTGTGTTGGATGGAGGTCTGGTAAACAAACAGGCTCCCTCCCACTTGCGCACAACCTGGAGGGGTGAGGCCTGTGCCCTGGCATGGTGTCCCAACTCTGGGCAGACCCCTGGAAAAGTAAAGGTCTCTCCTCTCCTCCGCCAGATCTACGGAACCAGCCCTACATCCGCGCAGACACAGGCCGGCGTAGCGCTCGTCGGCGCCCGCCCGGACCCCCGCTGCAGGTCACCTCCGACCTCTCGCTGTAGCCATGATTTCTGCAGATGGACTGCGAGGCCTGGGAGCGGGTGGGGGTGGCGGGGAGGGGCAATCCGGGACTCAAGGAAGGTGGGACTCAGCTCGGCTGGGCCGGGCAGCCTCCTCCACCAAGGTCCCCACCCCTGGGCGCCCCTCGAATGGTCAGGGTCACCCCTCATCTTGCCACAGGGGGAGGCATCTCTGGCCCCTCCCCCCAAATGCTGCTTGCAGCATCCCTCTTCCCCCAACAGCCATACTTAGCCTCAGCGGGAGCCCGGCCTGTAACTTATGTAACGGGTAACCTCGCGCCCCTCCACTCCCCCCACCCCGACCCAGCTCCGAGGACTCCCCATGGACCTTATTTTTATACAAGATTAATAAAGACGTTTGCAAAAGATCCGCGTCTGCTCCGTGCCCGCCCCCACTAAGAGCAGCCTGTTTCGCTCAGCAAACACTTTACTTGTACAATTTCTTCGTAGCAGGTCTCTGCAAATAGGCCGGAGAGGGGGAGAAGGGCTGCTTCTGCATCAGAGTTTGGGGGCACGGAGCCAGTTTCGAAGGGCACATGCACCCTAGTAACTGGTCCGCGAACCCTGCGGAAGCGCGGAGGGGGCGTACGGAGGGTCAAGCTTGCGGCTCGGATTAGAGACGCAGGGTTAGCTCCACCTGAGTCCCTATTTCTGCGGGCTCCACCCCATTTCCAGCAGTCCTGCCTCCTACCTGGGCCCCCCGCCTATTTTTCTTATGCCCCGCCCTATCCTTAATCGATCCTTAGTCGTGCTATAAAGAACAATATTGCATAGGAACCTGCAATGTTAGGTCCGTGAATCAAGGTAAATTGGAAGTGGTCAAACAGAAGATGGCAATAAGAGTGATCTCTTATTGCATCTCCCCGAATCAGGTCCCAATTTCTTGTAGTTCTGCTTCCACTCTGCCCGTCCCTCCTTTCCCCGCCGGTCTGTCCCATTTATCTGTCGGGTCCCGGCTCTGTCTGCCCCGCCCCTATCCTCTCGTTCCCGCCCACCCACACCCTTATCTACATAACCTGGCTCCGCCCGCTGGCTCTGCCTTTGTCGACTTTCACCTTGGCTGGGTCGCCCGCTCTTGGGCCTGCGCTTGGGGCGACTGGGCTGGGACGACTTGGGACGTCGGACGTCGGGGCGCGGAGTTCGCCTCTGCGTGAGGGATTCCGGCTGCGACCGCCCGTTCAGGCTAGGTATCTGGGAGTAGGGACTGCACGCTCCTGGGGCGAGGAAGCGGGTAGGAGGAAGAGGAGGGGGTCCTTCCTGAAAGCCGGTTGTGAGAGAGTCCCCAGTCCCGCGGGTCCCCGCCCAGCCCCGGGCGCACCCGCTTTGTGCAGTCCGTGCAGCGAACGCGCCAGCTCGGCATTGGAGAGGCCGATGAGGCGCGCGGCCTGGCAGAAGAACGCGAGGCCCGCGTGAGAGCGCCCGCTGCGGCCGTGGCTGCGGGACCGACCTTTCCGGCTTGCGTTCAGCCGCAGAGACCGCTGCTTTTTGGAGTAGTAGCTTGAAGGAGAAAAGTGGGTAGCCGTCTCAGACAGCGTCTCCCCAGTCCTCTCCATTTCACCCGTGGGGAAACCAAAGTGGGACAGGAATCTGATCGGGGGCAACTTGTCTGATTGGGGGCAATTTGGCACCCGGGGAACGGACCCAGAATTCAGGCTCTCCTCTCGGGGGCAGGGACATCTGGGGACTCCTGAACGGGGCAGTCTGCTCCCCCTATCTTGGGCCTTGAAGCTGGGTCCACTTGTGCCCACCTCATCACCTCCCGTGCCGACTTGAAGGGCACATAGCCCAGACTCATCAGCTTGAACAGCATCTCCAAGAAGAGGGTTTGCAAGCCCTGAGGGTCACAGGCCCAGCTGTTCCTCACCTTGCCTAGGGGCAGAGAACATGGGGGAAGGTAAGGAGGAGCCTTCCCCAGGCCAGGCCCTCCCACTCCTGCCCCGCCAGCCTTGCCCCTCACCCAAGCACTGAGCCAGGCAGTGGCTGTCAGTGAGGACACCCAGGAAGTCTTTGAAGCTTACCGTTCCATCACCTGGGAAGAGAGAGAGAGAGAGGAGGGGGTGCTGTAAGTGCCTGCCCCCCTATAGAAGGCTTGCCAGCAGTTCTAGGCATCAGAATGTCCAGTCCTGCCTCTGGCCAAGCATTTTCTGAGGTCAGGTCAGGGAGAAATAGCCCTTGCTGTGTGGGAGCCCCAAGTCAGGATGAGGATTATCACGACAGAAATGTTTAGGGGTGAGGGGCTAGGTGTGGTGATCAGGGCAGGCTTCTGGGAAGAAGGAACTTAAGAAAAGGATCAGACCAGGGATTTTGTGGGCAGTGGAGGCATTCTTCAAGGCTAGAGGAGGAGAGCTCATGAGGGTAGGGTCAGAGTCACCCACCATCCAAGTCCGCCTGCCGCAGAGCCTCACTCATCTCCTGAGGGCTCAGCTGGACACCCATATTGCACAGGGCAGTTTTCATACTGCGCATGTCCACGGAGCCTGTTGGGCTGGAGCTGAACAGTTTGAAGACATCCTGGAATGCTGGGGGTGGGAGGGGGCAGGCGGGCAAGGTGAACCCATGCACAGGAACCCTGAGATTCACCCACTCTAGCTCAGATGAGACTGAAGACCTGGGTTCACCTATCCCCTGGGCATTAAAACTTAAGGCTTTTAAGAACAGTGGTTGCTGTGTGTTGGCACCTGTTAAGTGTCTGTTCTGTTCTCATGTCCAAAACTCATATTTGGACATGCTCATATGAAAAAACATTAAAAACTCTACATCCAAGGCCACACCACCCATAGGTGCCATGCTGGGCTTTTGATATGGGTGGTCTGGCTCTATAGCTCCAATCTATAGCTTCAGGAGCCCTGCTGGCAACCTGGCCTGCAGTAGGCACTGACAACTATTGATGAATAGAGTGATACTGCTTTGAGGGACCCCAGCAATATCAGAGCATGATCTTTGCAGGGACACTGGGGCCCCCAAATGTAGAAGTGGTTCCTTCCACCTCTACTCCCACAGCCCTGAACCCCAGCGGGGCAGGGACTTCAGATTCTTTTTTCCCATTGTTTCTTCCAGTTTCCCTTCTTCCTTTCATCCTGTTCATCCATCTACCATCTATCCATCCACCATCCACATACCTTGCTATTTAACAACCCCTCCCTCCCTTCTTCACTTACATACACGTACATGCACACACATGCACAGAGCCATGATCCCTGGGACTGCAGAAATGAGCAAATTAGACTGGCATGCAGAGGTTACAATATAGTCACTGGCTTCTTCTGTGTCCCCAACCTCTTCTACTCTGAGCACCCCCTAGTCTTCCTCCCTTCTCCCAGTCCTGAGGCCCTCACCTGCCAGCTGCCGTGCTGTCAGGGGAAGCAGGTTCTTGTCTACAAAGCTGCTTCTGGCAGGGGGAAGAGAGTGGAAAGGTCTTTGTACCTACTGCTGAGTGATGCCAGAGTCAGGCAGGCTTTTTCCCAGACCCAGCACCCCAGCCCTGGCCCTGGTCCCTGCCCTCACCTCTGAGGCCTGGTCTGAGGGCCTGACTGTACTGTGTGGATGGCCTCAAGGCCCTTGAGCTGTCTGGTCCTCTGGGAAGCCTGCTTAGCCCCTGTGGCCAAGGCAGCAGCTGGCTCCTTCTGGGTCAGGAGGGTGGCACGTTGCTGCAACCTTCCCTTCTGGGTTCTGCCAGTCTGCTCCTCTCCTGGGTCTTGTGTGAGCAGTCTTTGAGGCTTCTGTGCAGGCCTTGGAGGTGAGGAGAAGACAGGGCTGAGGGGTCCAGCCCATTTGAGTGTTTGGACTCCAGGGCACCTGGGACCAGACCTGTGGATGCACAGCTTCACCTCCCAGGATCGGCCCCCTGCCAGCCTGCTCCCACAGCCCTCTCTCTGGGGGATTCTGGAAGCACTAGCTTGGAGGAGTGACCTCCGCCCTGGTCACCTGGATGTTCTCTTTGCCGACGGTGATCGCTTGGTCTTCCGCCCTCTGCTGCCTGAAAGGCAGAGTTGCACGCTTGGAGGCTGGGCCTGTCCCCCAGGCCTGCAGTCCCCCAGGCTGGGTTTGGTGTGGATCTGAACAACTGTCAGCAGGGGTGCGTTCCACCCTCACCACAGGCCCGCTCCTCTCTGCTGGGGAAACTGCACTTTTAGTCTTTTGAGTTTCTGCTCCCTTAAGGCATCTAAATTTTGTGACTCCATGCCAGAAGCTAACAGGAAGGCTGAGGCGCAGGGGAGAAGCAGGCCCCAGAGGCCCCAGGTCAAGGCATGGGAAGGTGGGGTCCAGCCAAGATGGGACTGTGGCTCACCTTACCCGAGGTTCCCTGGGGGGGAAGGAGCCCTTCTTCTGGGAAGATGTGTCCCAATAGCCAGATGCCAGTGCTGGCCTAGCCCCTCCCCAGACACTCACCTCTGCGTCTCTTCTTCATCCCTCCTTCCAGCCACCTGCCCCCTTCTCTGGCCCTGGCCTATTCCTGAGTGCTCATGCGTGTTTCCTTAGTCACTTCAGTCATGTCTGACTCTTTGCGACCCCATGGACTGTAGCCTGCCAGGCTCCTCTGTCCACGGAGATTCTCCAGGCAAGAATACTGGAGTGGGTTGCCATGCCCTCCTCCAGGGGATTTTCCTGACCCAGAGATTGAACCCATGTCTCTGGCACTGGGAGGTGGGTTCTTTACCACCAGTGCCACCTGGGAAACCCACCCCTTCCTAATCCTATTCTCCCTGACCCTGGGCACCTCCCTCCTCAGCCCCTTCTCAAAGCAGGGCAGGGTTCTAAGGATCTGCAAGGTAGGGCTTTCACTTGAAGGGGAGCCTTGGTCCGGAGGAGGTCTCAAGTCTCATTAGGCCCCAAGTCTCGGTGCTGTCTCCCCTTCTCTTCCTCCCTGACTTCCCTCTTCCTACCCACGTCCATCCCCACACTCCAAGTTCTCTTCCCTCTTGTTGCCATCTCCTCTTCCAGAAGCTTCCCCACATTGTCCCTCCTCCCCCACCATGGAGAGGCTCATGCATCTGGGTGCATGCATCTGGGTCACAGGCACTGTGTATGTGTGTGCCTGTGTGCGTGGCACGTGTGGAACATGCTTCTTCGACCTGTGTGTGGCTGTGTCACATGCATGTCTGTGTCACGTGCTGGTCAGCAGCTGGGGTGTGTGTGTGTGTGGACCGCCTGCAGAAGTGCATCGTGACCCATGGACTCTCCCCTACACTGGAGGTACCTCTGAGTGGAGGTAGTGGCCCCTGGAGGACCAGTCCCTCGGCTTCATTCTTCCCCTCCTTCAAGCCCTGAACACCATCCCTTCGCCATGCCAGGTCTTCACCATGAGAGAAGTGGGAAGAACTCCTTCCAGAAGCCTTTTTGCCTGCCCAGTCCCACCTCCAGGAGGCTCTCACCTCAGATGATCCCAGAATGTCCCTTTTTACATCTAAGAAGCCTCAGACAGGGCACAAGTGAGGCCTCCCCAAGGCAAGTCACGACTCTCCGATGCTGTCCTAGAGGCCTGGCGCAGTGCGGGGGGAGTAAGCAGGGACCACACAGGGCTGATGGAGCCCGCGGTGGGCTGGGGGTGCTGGGGTGGCTAAAAGTGTGGGTGGCTTCTCTAAGCATTGGAGACCAGGATGCTGAAGTCAGAGGAGCTCACTGGTCCAGGAGCGTTTGCAAAAAAAAGTCTGAGCCGGGGAGCCAGCACTGGAGGCTTTACTGGTTTTGTCTAGTCATTTCTCTGGGGAGGAGGGGGACGACAGCTTAAAATGGATTTTCAGGAATAATGGATTCCCTTTCATGGTTCCCGGCACCGAGCTGCAACGCAAAAGAGAGAGTGTCACGTGGGCCCTGGTGGGAAGGACAAAGGAGGGGTGAGCCCAGAGGCCTTTCTGAGGAGGGTGCAGGGGCTCAGACGGCCTCTTCCTGCTGTGTGATATGGATGGGCAGCGGCCCCTCTGTCACGTTCATTCATCACCAGGAAGCGCGGGGTGCTGGAGAACCCCGAGTCCTCAGTCCTGCCTCGTTGGTCCTATCCAGGGCCCAGGGCTGAGACCTAGGGGTTCTCAGTAGGAAAGACACTAGCCTGAGTGCTTCCAGTGAGGGTAAGGCCATCTACACTCGTGGCGAGAAACCTCCGAATGCTAGAATGGCATTCTAGTTCCGGCTTCAAACCCAAGTCCCTGCCCCCACCCTGGAGCGCTTACCCTCCATGGTGCCCAGGCCTCTGTCAGCCCTGGCTTTGGCACTGCACCTCAGCCCACCGGAACTTTGTTTCCAGCAGCCTTTATGAGGTCACTGAGCTGGAGACATCACTCAGCCAGCCCCTCATTCCTTGGTCCCCATCCCCCACTTGGCTGTGTGAGGAGTAGGCCCACCTGCACATCCCGGGGGGAGCCGTGGGGCAGCCTCACTTACTCTTTCGCAGCTCCTTCTGGCTGAGGGGACATGGGCGGGGACTGGAGAAACTTCAGCTCCCCTTCAATGGTGGCCCTCTTGAGCCCTGGCTTGCCGAGGTCAAGGTAAGGGTGAGGGATGTCCTTATCTTCTTGCTTTGGGGCATCCTGCGGTTCCCTGGCTTCTCTTGGTTCCTCTGGTGGCTTCTCATCCGTTGTGAGATTTTCCTGCTCTGGCTCGTCCGTGGTGGGCTGGGCAGCGTGATCCATGGCGGGCTCTGTGGGAGGTGGCATGGTCTTCTGGGGTGTGGTCTTGATCATGTGCTGCAAGCTGGGCAAGTCCATCCTGCTGGAGGAGGCCATGGCCAGGGTTGATGCAAAATTGATTAGCTCTTCCAGGCCCATGGAGGGCACGCAGAAGGACGGCTCGGGGCTTGGAGTCTTCTGGGAGGCTTTGTCTCGAGGGCCTTGCTGGGCGCTGGGGTCCTGGCTCTGCTTCTTGGAGCTCCCAGGGTCCTTGGGGACCGTCTGTTGGGCTGGGCCTCTGGTGGGCTCTTCTGTGCTCTTCTGGATGGGCTGCGTGCTGATCACTGGTTGCAGGCTGTGTTCTGACACCTGGATGAGCCTGTCTACCCAGAAGAGGTGCCTGGAGGTCTGCACGTGGATGGAGTGGTAGTCCTCGTCCACGGAACTCACGTAGCTGGAGTTGGACCTCATGCTCAGCTGTCTGATGCCTGGCTTTGCTAGCCCGTCTCCGTAGGGTTGGGGGGACTCTTCCCTGTACTCCTGGGGCTTGGGGTCTTCCTGTTTGGCCTTGGGCTCTGCCTGTGGGAAGGGCTTGGGCTTCTGTTCTGGCTCCACTCGAGGGACCTCTTCTTCGGGAACCTCTGGCCCTAGCAATTCGTCCTCCAGCTGAAAGGTTTCAACAGGAAGCTGAGGCTGAGCCTGGCTCCCCCACCCCACAACTGCCGCGGTTCTCCCCATCCCCCATTCTCTGCCCGGCCCCACCCCTGCACTGTCCTGCTCACTTCCTGCCTGACACTTGCCTCCTCCAAGTGACCTGCTTGGGGCAGGGAGGCAGTGGGGGCAGCTGGTGAGGATGGGTGTGCATGTGTGTGCCAACCCTGGTCTGGTGCTAGGGTCGGTCCCATAATTGTCCAGGGTGGGGGCTTATCAGGCTTTAGACAAGATGGGCCTCAAAGACCCCTGCTCCTGGCCTCCCACCTCCCCCTACGAGGTGATACGGTCCGCCGTTACCTCCATGTCATCTTCCTCTTGTATTGGCTGGAACTGGTTTCGGTTTATGGCACCCCTAAGACAGAAGGAGACACAGAGTGGGAGACAGGGCTCCAAGTGGTGGGTGGGATAGCTTCAGGGGAGGGTCTCTAGTGTCCTTAAAGCCTCCTGCCTTGTGCAAGGACTGGCAAGATGCCCCCAGCTCACTCCCCTGGTGGTGCCCACTCCCACTGAGAATCCCATGGCAGACTCATATTCTCAAACTTCAGTGAGTTCAGAAAGTTCCTAGAGAGCTTTCCGAGCTGCCCCCCTCCCCCTACAGTCTCTGCAGAGGAGACTGTCTCCTTGGGGGAGGTCCCCCACTCCAACAGTCCCCTTCCTAGAAGCTTGTATCTTTTATTTCAGTTGGAAGTGAGGCCCAGGAATCTGCATCTTAATCTAGCATTCCAGTGGGCCAGTGTCTTGCAAGCGGCTCCTCACAGAGGGAGAAGCCCAGAGGGACACCCTCTCCAGAACCTGCCTGCTTTCAGCTCAGCAACTCTGAAATGCAAGGGTGTGTGTGGAGGGTCCCTTGGTTCTTATTGCTAGTTGGCTGCCATCTCGACCGCTGCCCTCAGTCATTGTAACCTTTCTCCTACTTTAGGCACCTGCCCACCCTCCCCTTGGGTAGTTCTGATCTCAGAGAAAGGTAACGCTAAGGGGTCAGGCTCCATCCATCCACCCGTCAGTCCTCCTCCAACATGAGGGATTGGGGGAGGAGGCAGAGTGGGGGATGGCTTCCATCCTCACCCCTGCTGCCTTTTGGCCTGGATACTGGCCTTGGGGAGATTTTGGAAGCAAGCAAGATAGAGGGAGATCCTGGGTGAGGGTGGGTGATCTTGGGAGTTGGGGAGGAGTCCTACGGTGATGGGGGACTGGTTCTCACTGTGAATCCATAATGTCCACCGAATCTTTGCCACAGCAGGGTAATCCTTTGGCACCTGGCAGGGAGAAGGACGTCAGGGCAGGGGACCTGCAAGTGCGGACAGTCCCTGAGCAAGTCTGGAGCTCAGGCTGGTGGCACTGCTGCAGCCACCGCCCCTCCTTCCCTGTCCCTTACCTAAGCCCATGTGCCATCCCCTTGCCCATCCTGCCCCTTGCCAGCATCACCAGCACCCCATCCTCCACGTCTGCTCCCTTCCGCCTTTCGTGATCCATCACTGTCCTCCATTAGGGCAAATACGAATAGTGGTCACTTCCATTCGTTGAGTGCTAGAAACTAGCCCAGGGATTGTGTTGAGCACTTTATAGCCTTTAGTTCTTTGACTGAACACAAAACATGAGAAGAGGTTCATTTGCCCAAGGTCCCTCAGCTGATCACTCAGGAAGTCAGGACTTAGATGCAGGCTTCACTTAAGGAGCTCTTCACTGCCCTGCCCTGAATGTCATCCTACCCCAGAGTCTGTGACTGTGCGGGGTTCTCCGTCGCACCCCAGGTGAAATTTCTTCATCTTTTCCATTCCCACCCCTGCTCCCCTTCCTCTACTCTGTCTGGCAAGGCTTCAGATCTGCCACTCACTCGCATCCTAGCCACTCCTATCCTGTTCTCTCTTCCCCCGGCTTCTCATGCCATTTCACATCCTGGGATCATCTATTTCCAGCGCCGGGACAGAATTCTCACCCCAGGTGCTTGATTGGAGGTGACGCGTGCTTGCTAAGTTGCTTCAGTTGTGTCTGACTCTGTGACCCATGGACTGTAGCCTACCAGGCTCCTCTATCCATGGGATTCTCCAGGCAAGAATACTGGGGTGGGTTGCCATGCCCTCCTCCAGGGGATCTTACCAACTAAAAGATCGAACCTGTATCCCTTAGGCCTCCTGCAGTGGCAGGCGTATTCTTTACCACTAGTGCCACGTGGGAAGCCCAGCTGGTTATTTTGGAACATGAAACATCATTTGCAGAGGAGATTGGCTCCTTGGGGTACGTACCCCCTCCCAGTCCCCTTTCCTAGAAGCTTGTATCTTTTATTGCAGAAGCTTCTTTTTTATCCTTTGGTGATAGGGGCCACCAGGCTGTCCCCATTCTCTGAGCCCCAGGGTGGTGGATAGGGGTTGATGGTGGGGCCATTATGGCAATGAGCAAACCAGGATCCCTATGAGCCTGCAGTGTGACAGGAAGTGACAGCCTTGGCTCTGGCTGAGAAGAATTGCTCCCAGGATTAGATTAGAAGGATTAAAATGTGCTGTGGCCTCTTCCTAGAGGTGGAGAGGCTGGGGAGGATCCTTGCATGGCTGATGTTGGGTCCTGAGCTTTGGGTTGCTCCATGCACTTCACAGCTGATGCTAGTGGTAAAGAGCCCACCTGCCAATGTAGGAGATGTGAGAGACATGGGTTCAATCCCTGGATTAGGAAGTTCCCCTGGAGGAGGAAATGGCAACCCACTCCAGTATTCTTGCCTGGAGAATCCCATGGATGGAGGAGCCTGGTAGGTTACTGTCCATAACGTCGCAAAGAGTCGGACAGGATTGAAGTGACTTAGCAAGCCTGTACCGACAGGTTCAGCCTGGGCCTGGGATCCTGGATCAGCTGGGTGACTGGGCTAAGAGTGCACCAGGGACAGATTCCCTGTGGCCGGCTCAGTGGTCTCTTCAGAACTATCACTTCTTTGACCACCATGCTTTTTTGACCATCCCTCAACTTCCTCCCCATCTCTCTTCTGCTCCATTTCTACCTGCCCCAACTGCTGCTATGCCCCAGGCTTCTGACCCCACAGCCTTCTTTTTCTTTGTTGTTGTTGTTCAGTTGCTCAGTTGTGTCCAACTCTTTGTGACCCCGTGGACTACAGCACACCAGGCTTTCCTGTCCTTCACCATCTCCCAGAGCTTGCTCAAACTCATGTCCATTGAGTAGGTGATGCCATCCAGCCATCTTGTCCTCTGTCATCCCCTTCTCCTCATGCCTTCAATCTTTCCCAGCATCAGTGTCTTTTTCCCATGAGTCTCCTCTTCGCGTTAGGTGGCCAAAATTTTGGAGCTTCAGCTTCAGCATCAGTCCTTCCAATGAATATTCAGGATTGATTTCTTTAGGATTGACTGGTTTGGTCTCCTTGCTGTCCAAGGACTCTCAAGAGTCTTCTCCAACACCACGGTTCAAAAGCATCAATTCTTTGGCACTCAGCCTTCTTTATGGTCCAACTCTTACATCCATACATGACTACTGGAAAAAACATAGTTTTGACTAGATGAACCTTTGTTGGCAAAGTAATATCTCTGCTTTTTAATATTCTGTCTAGCTTTCTCATAGCTTTTCTTCCAAGCAACAAGAGTCTTAATTTCATGGCTGAAATCACCATCTGTAGTGATTTGAGCCCAAGAAGATAAAATCTATCACTGTTTCCTTTGTTTCCCCATCTATTTGCCATAAAGTGATGGGACTGGATGTCATGATCTTAGTTTCTTTTGCTTGTTTTACAAAATTTCTCTGGGAAGTTTAATCAACACCTAAAGCCTTAACTCTTCCATAAAAAGCAACTGGATTTGGATAGAAGGAAAAAATATTATGGTATGAACCTCACTGCAGTACTGGGGTTTAGAAGCACAAATCTGAGGTTGACTTAACTTGGGGCCTCTATATTCAACCTGGGAATGTTCTATTAGGGATTCAAGTGACATTTGGCAGTGTATGAAATAATTTCAACTTCCAACTGTGGATTGCTTTACATAGAAAGGCGTTGACTTTGTATCCTGCGACCATCCTAAAATCTTATTGGTTCTAGTAGCTTTTTTAAAATTCCATAGGGTTTTCTACATAAACAATAATATTTGTGACTCAACATAGTCTTACTTCTTCCTTTTCAACCTGGATGTCTCCAAGTTCCTCTTCTTGCCTTATTGCACTGAGAATAATCTCTGGAACAATGTGGAATAGAATTGAGAGTAAATATTCCTGCCACCAATCCCTCCCAGCATCAGGGTATTTTCCAAAGACTTAACTCATTGGAAGAGACCCTGATGCTGGGAGGCATTGGGGGCAGGAGGAGAAGGGGACGACAGAGGATGAGATGGCTGGATGGCATCACCGACTTGATGGGCATGAGTTTGAGTAAACTCCGAGAGTTGGTGATGGACAGGGAGGCCTGGCGTGCTGCGATTCATGGGGTCGCAAAAAATCAGACACGACTGAGCGACTGAACTGAACTGAACACATTCTTGCTTTCCTACTGAGCTTAGGGGAAAAGTATCCAGTATTTCATTATGAAATATGTTATAGTTTTTCTCATAGATGCTATTTATCAGGTTGAAGTTTTCTTCTATTCCTACTTCATTTTTAAATAGGAAGGGATATTGGGTTTTATCTGATGCTTTTTCTGAATTTATTATCATATGTTTTACTTTTATATTCTGTTAATACATTATATAAGTTACATATGTATGGCTGTATGTGCTTAGTCGCTCAGTCGTGTCTGACTCTTTGTGATCCCATGGACTGAAGTCCACTGGGCTCCTCTGTCCATGAGATTCTCTGGGCAAGAATACTGGAGTGGGTTGCCATGCCTGCCTTCAGGGGATCTTCCCAACCCAGGGACGGAACCCAGGTCTCCTGCGTTGTAGGCGGATTATTTACTGCCTGAGCCACCAGGGAAGCCAAGGAAGTTATATAAGCATGTGCTACATATATTACATAGTATTCTGCCAATAATTCTATTATAATTTGTTTATGGTGAAATCTTGTATTCCTGGGATAAATCTCACTTGATCACAATGTACTACCTCTTTATACATTGTCAAATTTTATTTTCTAACTTTTAAGGTGAATTTTCATATAGACGTTCATGAATTGTATTGGTATGCAATTTTCTCTTCTTATAATGTCTATGATGTAAGGTTTTGACATTAGAGTAATGCTGGTCCCATAGAATGAGTTGAGACATGTCCCCTCTTCAATTTTGTGAGTTTGTATAAAATTTTTATTATTTCTTCATTACATTTGGTAGAATTCACAAATGAAGCCTGTGGACCTGGACCTGGAGTTTCTTTTAATTACAAATTCAACTTAAAAGATAGATACAGGGTCATTTAGCCTACCTCTTTCTTTCTTTTTTATTGTGATAAAACACACATATCATAAATTGCCCTTTTAAAATCATTTTTAAGTATGCAGTTCAGTGGCATCAAGTATATTGTCATGCAGCCATCACCACTATCCACTCCCAGAATATCTATTTCTTCTTGAGTGAGGTTCTGGAGTTTGTATTTTTTTTAAAGGAATTTATCCATTTCATCTAAGTGGTCAAATTTATTGGCATAAATTGTTCCTAATATTCCCTAATTATTCTTTTCATTTCTGCAGAGTCTGTAGTGGTATTACCTCTTTTATTCCTCATGCTGGTAATTTTTGTCTTTTTTTTTTCCCTTGTCCAGTTTGGCTGTAGATGTATCCGTTATGTGGGTCTTCTCAAACCTGCCAGAGATATGTCTATTCCTGAGTGGTCACATTAAAGTAATATCTGTAAAGCAATAGGCTCCTGTAGTCACAGGCTCCCAATCAGCTTTTTATGATTTCACTCTTATACATGGACAAGCAAGCATCACTAGGCATTTGAGAAAACTGCTAACATAGGAGAGCTCGACCAAGAGAAAAGACTACTCCAGAACACCAGAAGAAAAGCAAGGAAACTGAAAAATTCTAATCATCTTCAGAGATTCAGAGTTTAAGATATTCAGCAACATATATATTGCATCCAAAGAACAAGAATAGGATACTATTTTAAAAAGAACCATGAAAAGAAAGAGCTTTTTAGCAAACAGAATTAAAAAATAAAATACAGAGAATATTCCTAGAAGGTAGAACTAAAATATCAAGACAATGTGAGAGAAAAGGATCAAAAGGAAATCCAGTTCTGGGTTATAGAAAGGAGATTCAGAAAGAATGGAGACCATGGAGAAGAAAAGCAAAATCAGTATTTCCCTGAGCTGAAGGATGTCATTAGCTTAAAAATGTTTGCTGAATACCCAGCACTATAGATGCCAAAAGATCTTTGCTCTAAAAGTTCATTGCATCAGGAACAAAGGATTCCTAAATGCTTCTAAGTGAAAAAGAAGTCAACAACAAGGGAAGGAGAATCATACTGGTGGTGGAGTTAGCAATACGGTTGTCTTTAACATTCTGAGGGAAATGGTTTTTAACCTAGAACTTTATATCCCACAAAACTATCATTTCAGACATGGAAAAGTAAGAAAGTTTATTTCTTTTTTTTTGGAAGTTATTTGAGGATGTGCTAACGCAAAATAAAGGTGTAAAACAAGAGTCAGGGATGAAAGAGCATATCCAACCCAGAAGAGCAGCTGAATGAGGCTGGGGATGTGGTATTGGGGATTCTTACTTTTCAATCACTGAATAAGCTCTTCAGTACTATTTAACCATATGCATGTATTTCTTGGATAAAGTTAAAAAAAAATGTTGAGCCCCAGAGGTACTTTCCTGGTGGTCCAGTGGCTAAGACTCTGCCATCCCAATGCTAGGGGCTGAGGGTTTGATCCCTGGTCAGGGAACTAGATCCCACATTGCCACAACTCAGAGTTGGCATCCTGCAACTTAAGATTCCACATGCCACGATGAAGACTGAAGGTCTTGTGTGCTGCAACTAAGACCTGGTGAAGCCAAATAAATATATTTTAAAAAGGTTGAGGCCAGCTATTGTCCAGGGACTGTGCTAAGGGCAGAGGACAAGTGATGAACATACACAATCTCTGCCCCTTGGAGCTTTCAAGCCTGTGGCTATAACCACAGGAGACCCTCCAATCTCTATTTCATACTCCCACTTGACCCTCCAATTTCTATTTCTTACTCCCACCTCTCCTGAGTTCTAGACTTAAACTGCAGTCACTGATTATACATTTTTCCCTCAGGGGGCCTTAACTTCACTGTTTAAAACCCTATGGATTCCTTGTCAAAGCCTGAGATGAGTAGTTTGAATGGAATTCCCATTTCCTATTGTCATGACTAGGTGAGCTAGGGGCTCACCTCTTCCTAAAGACCTCCCAGACTCTACCTCAAGGCACTAAGCTGAGGGGTCTTCCTCCAGTTGCTCCCTTCCCCTCTACCCCCAGGCCCCCCCACGGCAGACCTCTATCTAAGTGCACAGTTTCTTGCTGACCCTCAGTTAGAGGTGGGTTGGGTGTGTGGTTTGCTTACTGTGAATCTCTGATCCTCTACACAGAGTCAGAAACAAGGTGGATTCTCAGCAAAAGTCTGTGCAAAGAATGGTTTCCTGGGACTTTGCTGGTGGTCCAGTGGTTAAGAATCCACCTGTCAGTGCAGGGGATACAAGTTCGATCCCTGGTCTGGGAAGATCCCATCTGCCATGGAGCAACTAAGCCCATGTGCCACAATCACGCCCATGCTCTAGAGACCATGCTCTGCAACAAGACAAGCCACCGCAATGGGAAGCCTGTGCACCATAGCTAGAGAGTAGCCCCTGCTTGCCACTCGAGAAAGTTTGCACAGCAATGAAGACTCAGTGCAGCCAAAAATAAATAAATAAATAAAATTATTTTAAAAAAGAATTGTTTCCTTATTCTTCTCAGCCCGCTAAACCCTTCAGATTATCTCCCATTTTTGGCCTCAAGTTCATACCTGTGTCCAGACTCTAGGATGGCCAACACAGTTCTGCATGTTTGACCCACCTTCCTTTCCAATTTCTTATCTCTTGATAAACTCCTCTCCCTGGTTCATCATTTATCCTATCACCCCAGTTAGAGACCTGTGTCACTTGCAACCTCCTCACTTCCCCAGCTCCTGACATTCCCACCACTATTAATGACCTGTGCACATCCTTTCTCCATCCCCACTGCCTCTCTCTTCTGACACCAAAGTCAACACAAATCCAGGACTCCTGACCCCCTCAACACTTGGTGCTGAGTGCTTTGCATGCATTCAACCCTCAGGGCCACACTCTGCACAGGTGGCCACGACTCTCCTCTCATAGATGAGGAAGTTTGTGCAAGTCACACAGCTCTTAAGAATAGCACCACGACCTGAACACAAGTCAGATAGGCTCCAAACCCCATGGTGCTACCCACTGTGCTGGCTGAAATTTCTCTAGGCCTCTAGCTGATATAATTCAATATGGACAACTGATCCACATTCCCCCTGACCCTGGCCCCAACCTGGGCATCTCAATGACTGCAGAATAAGCCTGCTGCATCACACCTGCTCACATTCAGATTCTAGGGTGGCCTCAAAGATCCTGCATAGTCTGACTTCTGCCTTCTTTTTTCATCTCCTGGGATCCAGTTCCCTGCCTTGCCCCAAGCTCAAGAGGCCCTGGAGCATGGTGGGAACTTTTGTGCATCAATGCCCTTGCACATGCTGTTTCTGATACTCAGAAAGTCTCTCTCCTGACAAAAACCCTACTCATGCCTGACAGCTCAACTCAAATCTCCATTGTCATTATCTCTGTGACATACCTGGCTGTCTAACCCACATTTTAATTTTTAGTTAACTCATTAAACTCAGGGCCTAGCACAGAGTAAGAGTAAGTGCTGACAAATAATAAATGCTAGAGAGAGTTTGAAGAAAAAAAACACCTCCTACGCTGTTTGCGGGAATGTAAATTGGTGCAGTCACCATTGAGAACAGTATGGAGATTCCTTAAAAAACTAAACATAGAGTTACCACAAGATCTTACAATTCCACTGGAGAACATCTGGAGAAAACTCTATTTTGAAATGATACCTGCACCCCAATGTTCATTACAGCATTTACAATAGTCAAGACATGGATGCAACCTAAATGTTCATCAACAGATGAATGGATAAAGATGATGTGGTATACACACACACATACACATAATGGAATATTATTTAGTAAAAAAAAAAAAATGAAATAATACCATTCACAGTAACATGGATGAAGTGAGTGAGTGAAAGTCTCTCAGTCATGTCCGACTCTTCACGACCCCATGGACTATACAGTCCACGGAATTCTCTAGGCCAGAATACTGGAGTGGGTAGCTGTTCCCTTCTCCAGGGAACATGGATGGACCTAGAGGTTATTATACTACTGAAGAAGCCAGACAGAGAAAGACAAAGATGATATGACTTATATGTGGAAACTAAAAAACAAACAAACAAATGAACTTATTTACAAAACAGAGACTCACAGACACAGAAAACAAACTTGTGGTTACTTCCCTGATGGCTCAGGTGGTAAAAAAAACCTGCCTGCCATGCAAGAAACCTGAGTTTGATTCCTGGGTTGGGAAGATGCCCTGGAGAAGGAAATGGCAGCCCATTCCAGTATTCTGGCTTGGAGAATCCCATGGACAGAGAAACATGGTAGGCTACAGTCCACGGGGTTGCAAAGAACTGGAAAGGACTAAGCAACTAACACTTTCACTTTCAGGGGGAAAGCAGTGGGGGTGGGTGGGAAGGAATCACACGCACACTACTATATATTAAAATAGATGACCCACCAGCTGTAGAGCACAGGGAACTATATTCAATATTTTGAAATAACCTATAAGAGAAAAGGATCTGACAATATATATATATATATATAATCTCACTGAATCATTGTGTTGTACACCTGAAATTAACACATTGTAAATCAACAATACTTCAATTAAAAATACAATAAAATACAGTTGTCTAAGATTAAAAAAAAGAAAAAAGAGAAGGGGATGCAATAAACATTGTAGGAGTGATTTAAGCTGTCTGCATCAACTTGTTTGTTGAGGGGAAAGCTCTTCTCTGGTTGGTGATTTTTGGCACGTTTTGCAGGCTGGCCCACGTCCTGGGAGAGAAAGTCCTGAGAAGAAGGTCTCCAGTCCGGGGGTGGGGGAGATCTGGGCCCCCTTGTTAGAAACCTGGGGGATCCGGGGCCCTGAGGGGAAACCATCTTGGTTCAAGGGTACAGAAAGAAGTGCAAAGCACAACGGAGGGGCTCAGTAAATATCTGTTGAAGCCCACTGCCTTTCTCTGCAAAAGCCTCAAGCACCAACCACGGAAACCCTTGATTTGATTTGGAGCGGGGGTGTTTCCTCTGCAGTTTGGGGTAATTCATATATCGCTTCCTGGGCACAGGGCCTCTACTCTTTCTGTGTCCAGAACGCCTTTACCCCTCGGTGTGCACGTGTATCTGTACACACACACACAGTCGTGCGCCGCGCAGGGCCAACGCTGCGCGTGGTGGCCAGGGAAGCACCGCCCCTCATCCGCGGGGACGGTGAGGGGTCTGGCTGGGGTCTACCTTCCTCTCCGGCGCCTGCCCGCCCCGGCCGATCCCCGCCCCCGAGCCCCGCCCTCACTTTCACTTTTCCCGCCCACCCCGCCCCTGCCCCGCCGCGCGCCCGCCCGCTCCCACCTGTCACCCCCATGCTGACCGAGACTCTGTGCGGGAGGCGGGGAGCGGGCTGGTGGCTGCTGCCCCTCCGCCTCCAGTGAGCTCTTTGGTGGCAGGCTGTCGGGGGCGGTAGAGATGCGGGGGGTCGGGTGGGGTGGGGCGGGGCGCCGGTGCCTGTGATGTCGCCGCCTCTGTGACGTCCCTGACGCGAGCCCCACGGCGTGTGGGTGGGTTTGGCAGTTGGTGGGGGAGTCTTCCAGAGAAGTGGGCTCCTCCTCGTCCCGCAGTCGGAGCTCCTCCCTGCTGCCGGCCAGAAGCCTGAGGTCTGCAGGGCTGAGCTTTGGATCTGTCCTGGGCACACTGGCACAAGGCCGCTGCATGCCAGGATTCTGCATGCCCAGGATCCTTCAGGAACCTGCTGAGCTTGCCACCTCTGCCCGAGGGTGTGCACACGTATCTATGCACACGAACTTGGATATAGACTCCTGTTGTAGAGCCAGATTAGCCGAGGCACCCTGCATGCCAGTGACATCCATCCTCAGGTTCTGTCCCAAAGCCAGGGAATCTACTTTGGGAAAGTCATCTCTGAGCACGTGCAGACACCCAGGTGGCTGGGAAGGCTGGCAGTTCAGGTCCACTCCCAGTCCAGTCCCCTCAGGGACAGAGGAGTGAGTGGGACAGTCTTGGTTCTGGGCATGCAGTCCGCCTCCACTACCCCTGCTTGGGCAGTGCCCAGCCCTTGGCGCCCTGCTCCTTCTCCCCTCAGCCTGGCACTGTTCGGCCAGGGACTTCCCAGCTGTCAGCACGTGGGGCGTCTTGTCTAACTGGTCTGAATGGATAGCCCAGAGGTAGGACTGGAAGTGTCACTAGGAGGAGTGGTGGGAAAGGGCTGAAAACAGTCTTTGCCCAGGGTGGGGCAAAACTGGATAAGATACCATCAAGAAGTCAGAGGGAGGCAGCTGGTAGGATGTGAGGTTCAGGGCACAGGCAGGCGGGAGTGGAGACAACCACGGCCCAAACACACTTGTCATTACCTCAAACTTTATTGCTTACAAAGTTTTCTACCATTTCAACTCTGCAGTGCCGAGGCTGCAGTTCTTCACATCATGGGGGCTGGGAGTCTCTCCCTGGGGAGGAGTAATGGCTAAATGTGGATAGCTGGGCAAAGGCCACCTGGCAAGATGTGGGGATGAGCTTCTCCCTAGATGAAATCTCAGGGGACATCCCCTCACCCCGCAATAATTCACAGTTGCTTAATGCTACATGAGTCCTGATCAGCTGCCCCCTGAAGGAAGAGGCTGGCTTGGGGGGGGGCACATCTTAAGGAAATCTGGAGGGGGTTTGAGGGGTCACATGCATGCAGAAGGGTCAAGAGCTCAGTCCCTTCCCCTCATCTCCTGGCCTGCTTGTGCCCATGCAGAACCGCTGGCCTGCCCTCCGGGAGGGCAGCCATGAAAGTGCTTTGAGGTCATCAGAGTGCAAAGTGCAGCTGGCGGTGCCCTGGAGACCAGGGGTGGCAGGGTCAGTGAGTGTCCCGGGAGGCTCGTGTGAGGGTGTGGGAGGCCGGGGCCTTGGGTAACAGGAGCACCTGCGTCGGTTGCTTTCTGTGGAGTCGATCGTGCTCTGTCCTCAGAGCGTTCCTGTCAGGTAGGTCTCACGTCACCCTCCACTTCCACAGCTGAGCGAGCTGAGTGCCAGCTGGGCAGGGGCCGTGCTGCGCCTGCAGCTGGGCTCGGGGCCTGCTGCTCTGGGGCAGACTGGTGGCTGGCGGCAAAGGGGCGCGTGCTTGGGGACTGAGAACCGTGTCACTGGAACGCCTTCTCTGGTTCTTCTGAAGCTGACCTCAGCTCACGGCCTGAGTCGCAGCACCCTGAGAAGTGGCCTTCTCTCCCAGAGAGATCCCCACATCAGACGTTCCTCCCTCCCTGGCCTGAGAAGCTCCTAGTGCTAGAAGAGGGGTTGATGGCCAGGCAAAGCCGGGCAAGGGGGTCAGAGGGGCCCCCTCCATTACCTCAAGGGGAGGCACACCTGCCACCCCAGTCCTGGACTGGGCCTGGGTGGGGGCCGTTAGACGCTCACACCTGCCTGGAAACCGAGGGAGGGCTCACCCACCTCTCCCTGACCTGGGCCGGAAGCTGCTCTCCCCTGACTGCCAGCAGGTGGTCACTGATCCTGACGGGGTCAGGCCAGCTTGTCGGGACGAAGGCAGAGAAGACCCTCTTGGTTCCTCGTGGGAAGAGGCCTCCTGTCTTCCTCTTCCTCTCCTGTGGGCTCAGGCAGGACCCAGGTGGGAAATCCTGGGAGGTGTTCTGCCGGCGCCGCCTTACTGCTGCCAGCCCCTGGTCCCACCGCTGAGCCATGGGCTGGCAGAGATCCGGGAGCAGGCGGAGCCTGTGTCTCAGGGACAGCACTGAGCACCGAGAAGGAAGGCCGCTTCTGGCCAAGTGGAGCCAGTGGTGGAAGGCTGCTCAGGGCCTGTTCTCCAGCTGGCCGTGCTTGACCCTCCAGCTCCAGGCGAAGCTGCCGTCTGGGGCCAGGGTGCACTGCAGGTCAATGCCTGAGTCCGGCACCTCCATGTCGTAGCGCACGGGCTGCCCGTCCTTGGTCACCAAGCTGAAGGCTGCAGCTGGGATCTGGGGGCAGAGCAAACCAGGGGGCCTGAAAGCGGCCGGGGTGCTGAAGGGTCCCAGCAGAGCAGAGCTGATGGCTTCCTGCTGCGCTGGGAGACACTTTCCTCCAACGCAGTGGGCAGCCTTGGAGTATTATCTGCCTTTCATTCTGGAAGACTTGGAGAATCTCACCCAGCCCAAGTGGCTGAGGATCCTGAGGACCCTTCAGTCACCACTGCCAGTCTTGCCCTGGGACCCTGGGGGGCGGGTGGACATTCCAGGGCCAACCATTCCCTCCGGTGCCATTTCTACTTATTCAAAAGCTTCCTTCCTGGAGGACTGAGCTAGGCACACTGGATTCTGGGAGTCTGCCCCTTAGCAGGTACCTGCCCCCTCACCTGGCTGCTGATGCCCGTTGCGATGTCTCCCACCTTGACCCGGTGGAACTCCCGGATGTGCAGGTGTTCGCCATTGAGAGACTGTATTTGGACTTTCACACCTAGAAGTCAGGCAAGGTGACCATCAGGAGAGTGGCTGCAAGCTCCCTAAGGCGCCCTAGGGAGGGGGAAGCAGGGTGGCTGAAGAAGCTGCAGAGATGGCTTTAGGATGGAAGGGCTGTAACGTTATACCCCTGCTAGCTCTTCATGGCCATGTTCTGTCAGTACTGGGACTCTGGCCTGCACAATGCAAAGGGCTAAGGTTGGCTCCTGTGTGGAAGCAGTATTACAACTTATACACAAAAAGTAGAAAGGAACTGGAAACAAAGATTCTTAAATTGGATTGTGGGCAACTTAGATGGTAATGTTCCCTGAGGTGGGACAGCCTCTGGCCAGGCATGGGGCTTGATGCCATGAGTCACACTGGCCCTGGAAAGGCCAGGGAACTGTGAGCTGATTAAACTCTTGTTCTATCAAAATCAAAGCATGACCTCTGCAACCACACTTGAAAACAAAGAAGTTCCACATGTGTTGTCTTTCTCATCTTCCGACTTCAAATCTCAGAGGAGGATCTCAGGAAACCTATGGCTAAGCTCTCTTTTTTTTCTTCTATTTTTTGGCCACACCCCACGGCATGTGGGATCTCAGTTTCCTGACCAGGGATTGAACCTTCACTCCCTGCATGGAAGGTAGTCTTAACCACTGGACCATTGGGCAAGTCCCTATTGCTGAGTTCTTGATTAAAATACTCATGAGCTCCTGTTCTTCCCTTTCCCTTCAGAAGTTCAGGCTTTTGACCCCAGCCAGGAGACTGCTCTCTACCCCCAGCTAGAGGCTTCTGGGACTCCATCGGCTGCCCATGAGGGGCCATGGTCTTTCACTGCCCCATAAGGAGGGGCTCTGATTTTAGTTTACTCTAAACTGACTCAGTGGCCAGGCACCTCAGATTCTGGGTGGTAGGTACCTTCCTCCTCTCCCTTCCCCACTGTGCCCTACCCTCAGACTCCCCAGTCCCAGGCGGAGCAGGGGACTGTACCGTTGAAATAGCTTGGCGTGTCGGTGGGCCGCCCCCGGGCCAGCACCATGTTCCAGCTGGAGCTGCGGGCCTCCGCCTGGCTGCTCCACGAGTGCACGCCAGAACTCAGCGTGTCCCGTGAGCTCTGAGAAGCCTTGGACGGGTTCTGAAATGAGAGTGGGCACAGACTCAGGTCCCTGGGCTCAGGGAAACTTCTCTGGCCTTCGTCTGCTTTGGCGAGGAAGTGCTCCTGGCTTGGGCTGGAGCGTGGCTCTACTGGTCACTGTTGGGACTCAGCACGGGGCTGAATTCTGTTGGGTTTTTTTTTTGGGGGGGGGCTGAATTCTTTAGGGGCCCCGGGGCTGGAGGAGGGTGATGATTATTCTCTATGGGGACTAAAGGCCAGCCTTTCCCCTCACTATCTTAGTGGCCAAACCAGTCCTGCATTCCCAGGTGTGCTGGAGATGGACTGTTTCATTCTGAGAAACCAGGACCCCTCAGCCCCAACGAGGACTCCTCCCATAAGAAAGGGGAGACCCTATCATCTGCCCTTAACCCGCTACCTGCACACAACACCTCCACGGAGTGGACACAAAGCCGCCAGCCTTGTGCCCGGGCTCCTGGTCTGTGGCCCACTCACCTTCTCACTGTCGTCTGACAGGGAGAGGCTGTCGACGCTGAGGCACGAGAGGATCTGCTCCTGCTCTTCCAGGGAGAACGGCTGGGACAGGCTGTTCAGAAATAACTCTGCAGAGAGAGGCAGAAGACGGCTGTGAAGGACCGGGAGGGGTCTGGGCTCGCTGCACAGACGGCTGAGCCCAGGGCGGGGGCGGGCTATGGCAAGGATGAAGCCGAGGCCTTGGGGCAGAGACCAGGCTGGTGTCCAAGGCCCTGAAGGCCGCAGCTGCCCATACCTATCTCCAGCTGCTGCAGCTCCTGCTCAGGAAAGGTTGCCTTTCGCTCGGGTGAGCTGGGGTTCCTGGCGGGGGCCGGATCCAGGGAGGACAGGGGCAGTGGGTCCCATGTCCCAGACTCCTCCTTGCCCCAGTGCAGGCTGGGAGACTTGATCTGCTCTGGGGGGTCTGGGGGTGGAGGAGGTTGGAGCTTAGGGGCCCCGCCTGCTGCGTCCTTAGCTGGCTGCAGCCCCGGGGCCCCTGGTGAGAGCTCCCCTGGCGGGGCACACAGGGTCTGGTGAGGGTGGCCTTGGCTTGGCGGTGGGTGGGCTTGGAGTGGCGGCGGATGTCTTGGTTCTTTGTATTCTCCCCTCCAGGGACTCCTCAGACCTCCCACTACAAAACAGAGAGCACACGTGGTGAGGAGGGAACAGGCCAGGCCTGGTGGCCTTTTCTGAGCAGAGGAGCGCCAGAAGTGGGCAGGGAGGGCGGCCCCTCGCACAGCCAGGACACAATTTCAGAGGGCGCTGCGTGGTCTTCACAGGAGGCTTCTTCCTTAAGATCAGTCCTCTCATGAAAATAGAACAGTATTTCTTTTATTCCCTTTTCCTTCCAGGTAACAGTTGCAAGTTTAAAAATTATAGAATTGGCTCCAGAGAAAGACTTTGTTAATATTAATAGTATTATAAAGGGAAGATTTAAAAATAGCTCTGGGGTAATGCCCACTCATAGCTTCCAGGAGAATGGGCCTCGCTGACCCTCCATATCTTACCCTTCCCTTCCCGATAGTCAGTGCTTCCTGAGGGGGCACTATTTCTCTGGAGTTGGGGGCAGCAGTTCAGCCATTATAAATGGGGGGGCCATTATAACTACCATCTACGTTTGGGGTGGGGGCTAGGCAAGGTCTCTCTCCTGTTTTACTCATTCCCTATTCGTTCTCCTCACCACTGCCTTTCAAGCCCTGCCACTTCCCTCCCTTGCATCCCACTGACGTTCTATCTTAAGTAGACATCAAAAGTGCAATATGTCACTTTAGGTTTCACTGAATTCTTGCCAAGTGTGTGTTGTTTTTATTTATCGATTTTTAATTTACACAAAAGGCACTGTATTCTAGGCCTTGCTCTGTTGGTCCCTTCTTTACCGGGCGCCATAGTTTTAAGATCCAGCCAGGTTGCCCTGTGAACACTGAGGTGCTTTTACTGCTGTCAGTGCTGCATGGAGCACCCTACACCCCACCCCACCCCATGCCACTCCCACCTTTGGCCTCTTCGTGTTTCCCAAGGAGGGACACCCAAGTGTGCCCATCTCCCCTCCCACAAATGACACTGCAGTGTACACCCCCAGGCGTGTCCCTCATGGATCTGGGCAGAGTTTCTTCAGTGGTGCGCCCTGGAGTGGGGTGCAGGGTCCCAGGTCTGCAGACATCTGTCTGAGAGCTGCCAGGTGCCCTCCAGCGGAGCCTATGGGCCACGGTCCCCCATCCTCACCCAGAGTTGACACCGCCAGCTTTCTGACTTTCTCCCACACAAATGGCTAGAAAGTGATACCTGGCTTTATTTCACATTCTCTGCTACTAATGAGTTCAAGCCCCCTTTATATGTTGTGATCTCTTCCCCCCATCTCGAGCATGGCCTCTGCATCAAGGTACAGTACTAAGCACTTGGACTCAGGTGACCTCAGTCTTCCTAACAGGCCTGAGGCTGGCGTCATGCTCATGCTCTAGATGGGGAGCCGAGGCTCTGAGAGGCTGCACGTCTTGTCCGTGACGCCACACGACCCCGCCGCCTCTCACCTCCCGCCGCCAGTGTGGGGCTCTTACCGTGTTGCAGGGCCAGGCTGACCTTCCCCCCCAGCTCCACTGCAGAAGCCCGGTGGCCCGGCTCCTTCCTGAGCCCCTCCTGGATGGCCTGGGCCGTGAGCGGGGCACAGGAGGGCGGGATCTCCCTCACAGGTGGCGGCTCACTGGCAATCTGGGGGTCAAAAGGCAACATGTGAGACTCGCCTCCCCATCGCTTCCTGCCCCTCACTTCCTTTTCTTGCTCCTCCCCACTGTCCCCTGTCCTGCTGTGCTGGGGTCAGTCAAAAGGACTAGAGTGGCCTGGTCTAGAGTGAGGGCTGGGACTTTTCCAAGAAGAAGGGAAAAGGGGGCTACGTAGGACAGAACAGAGCAGGAGGTGAGGCGCCCATAAGCCCCAGGCACCCATGACCCTCAGGAGGACAGGCGGGGGTGGCCTGGGGTCTGGACACAAGAGAGCCCGGAACCATGAACTCAAGAAGACCCTTCACCCAGGATCTGCCCTCAGACCCTCAAATTTGGGTAGCCAAGTATTTACGTCAGGATCCCACATTTCTGATGAGGCCCTGGCTTGCTCCTGCCTGCCACTGAGGAGCGGCCAATACGGGAGGCACCACCAAGCCTGCAGCCCGGGCCCCACGGCCCGCTGGCCGTCCCAGGTGCTCTCACAGACCTTGAGGCAGAGCGGTCCTCGGAAGTACTGGGTCCAGGGGTGGCAGCCGTTGAGCATGTGCAGCATCATACAACAGCTGCTCCAGACGTCCACCTTGGCATCGCAGGGCTTGCCCATCACCACCTCTGGCGCCATGTGGGTCTCTGTACCAGGGATGTAGTCCCCTGCGGAGGTGAGGTGAGACAGAAAAGGCAACTGTGGGCTCTGACAGGTGGAAGCCTCGGCTGTGACCACCCCAGTCAGTTCCTGATATACCTTGACTCTGTCTCAAAGTACTGTAAGTAGAGATAAAGCCTCCAGATCCAACTTGCTGGGGATAAGCCAAGGCGGGGATTGTGCTGGGGATGGGAACAAAGAATATATCATCTAAAACACGGGCTCTGGATGTCTGTGGTGGTCCAGTGGTTGAGAGTCTGCCTACCAGTGCAGAGGACAGGGTTCAATCCCCAGTCCAGGAAGATTCCATATACCGTGGAGCACCTAAGCCTGTGCACCACAATTATAGAAGCCTGTGCTTTAGAGCCTGTGCTCCACAACAAGAGATGTCACCACAACGGGAAGCCCATGCACAGTTAAGAGTGGCCCCTGCTCATCGCAAATGGAGAAAGTCTATGCAGTGACGAAGACCCAGCACAGCCAAAAATAAATAAATAAATTAATTAAAAAACCCATTGCCTCTGCCCTTTGGCTCAAACTCTCAAAATGCCTTCTAAAAGGGGGAGGGATTAATAGTATGATGTTCCTGAAATTTTAGTAACTTAAAAAAAAAAAGAAAAAAAACTTATATGCATAAAAGACTAGAAAGACTGATGCCAGATGTGAATAGTATTTTTTTTCTGGTGGTTTGTGTTTCTTATTTTTGTTTAGCTATACTTTCTGTGAAAGAGATTAGAAATGATATTTTTATAATAAGATATATTATACATATACATCTTAGTAATAATATAAATATATATTTATATATTATAAAAATAATATATATCATGTAATAGAATATATTATTAATATGTTAATATATATAATATAAAAGATATTTTACAATATAATAATAACACTATAGTTATTTCAAAGTGGAAAGTAGGTATCTGTGTTCAAATTACATCTTCAGAATTACCAAGAGTCCTTTGATAACAAAGAATCACTTCTAAAAGATTGGTTTTCCTTTGGTTAAAATGAAACAATTTTATGCTAATACTATAAATAAAAAAGCAGGGCACAAAAGTGTGTTATGAAGACCTTAACTATATACAGAAAAGTACCAAAAAAATTATAAATAAGGAAAGACCTGGAGGGAATTATCTAAAATATTCATAATTATCTCTCTGGGCAAGAGGAATGGTAAGAACTTTTCCTCCCCTTCCAAACCACTTAACACTGTAGTTATCCAATACTTTGCTGCGGACACGGATTATTTTAATAATCAGAAAAATATAAGTTAAAAACAGGCATTTCTCCAGCTACAGAGCATAGGCCCCTTGGTCAGCCATCTCATTTTGCTTTGCAAAACCGTGCTCTCAGAGGCGAGGGAGGGCTGAGCTCACAGGCTGGGAGCAGAGCTCCCCCGTAAAGGCTGGCCAAGGGGGTGGAGCCCTGGGGGTTCGGAGACAGCAGACCTTGGACCTTGGGTGTAGCACCCAGCCTCTTTTGTTCCCTCCTCTGTGTAACAACATCAGAAGCAAGCACCTGACATGCATAATGGCATTTAAGCTTAACAACAAAAGCCTCATAACCTAGGGTGGGTGTGGGGCTGAAGTATCTTCATGGACATAAAGTGCTCACATCGCTGACTGCCATTAAGGAAGGTACAGAAGGCGCAGGGCTAATGCTCAGTGAAGGCCGCCAGGCTGTTCTCTTTGGGGGAAGGGGTCGGGGGCAGGGCATACCTGTGAGCAAAGACTTCCCCAGGCCGTCGGGTTGAAGGCACACAGCGTGGCCAAAGTCGCAGAGGGCTGCGCGGCTCCCATCACTGGATAGGAGCACGTTGTCGGCTGCCAGGCCACCCCGGGAAGAAGAGGAACAGGTGAGTCACCCAGGGCCCCGGCCCAATCTGAACCTCCGGCGGGGCAGTTTTCTGGCTGACCCTACGTGGCAGCTGCAGCTTCTGATTAGTTTCATTAGTCATGGAGGGAGGGGGGAGGCAGGGATCAGTTCAGGCTGGAAGTAGGCAGCAGGCAGGCTCTCAGAGGGTGAGGGGATGTGGCCACTCAGCCTTGCTGCCCTCCCCTCCCCATGGTCACCAGTAAGTAGGAGCTTGATTAGCTGTTCTCTGTGGGCATCACCCACTGGAAATCACAGTGCCAGGCTGAGGGCTGGGAGAACACATTTTCCCTTCCTGCTGGCTCAGCCCACCCACCTTGACGTAGGCCCAGAAGATCTGGGAGGAAGAAGGCATGATGGGGTGAGGAGAGAGCCCAAGAGGGACCAGGGCCACGGGTGCCCTGAGCCTTACCTTTCACATCTCCATGTAGAATCCTGCGGGTATGGAGGTATTCCAGGCCTTCCAGCGCCTGGCCCAGGTAGTAAAGGGCCCGGTCCTCTGGCAGACAGCCTTTCTGCTTTATGAGCTGACCTAGCGAACCACCTAGGAGATCAATGGCTGGTCTTTACATGGGGCTTTTCCGGGCCTCCAAGTCAGCCAAGGGCAAGAGACTTCGAACGGCAGGTGGTAGAAAGCAGGCCTTTCTTGCTGATGTCAAGAGGTCAAGAATTTACAAATGGATTGACTGGGGACCAAGGTTAACCTGGGCAAGATTTGAAGAAACCCTTGGCTCTGACTTTGGAGGGAGAAAGAATGGCCCCTGGCTCCTTACCTTCCAGCAGTTCCATGAAGATGTTGACCCAAGGCCCTTCCTTCACAGCTCCATACAAAGGGACGATTCTGGGGGAGGTCAATCCCGCACATGCCATCAACTCCTCAGCCCGAAATACTTCGACACGCACCTGGAAGGGCCCAGAGGTGGGTGGGAGTCAGGTTGAGGGACCAGGGTTGGTTCCCTGGGCTCCTATCTGGACCCTTGGAGCTCCCTTCATGGAGACCACGGATGGGCCCGGTGATGGTTCCTGAAGGGCCTGCTGGACACTTAGAAACTAAAGCGTGCACCCTGGGGCAGTCAGGATCAATGCCTAGTACTTGACTAAAGTTCTACAGTGCTGACGTTTATGGAAATAGTCACAGAAAAACAACAATCCTTATCCAGGGCCCTGGCATGCTGCTCACCCTCACATCTGCTGAACACAGAACTTGCTTTTCCCCTGCTCAAATGTCTGGACAGTTTCTAGGTTATGGGACCTTTTGTTTATCAACATCCACGTCTTAAGATGCTTCTGTAGCCAGAGCTGGTACAGCCAAGATTCTGGCTCTGTCAGTGCCTCTGGATCCTCAGTATCCTTCTCAGCACTTATTTGCTGATAATTGTTTGCCTTTCCCCCTGAGGGCTAAAATGTCCACATAGATGCGACAGTGCTTGTTTATTCTGTTTGCAGCTGTTTCCCCAGGATCTGGGCATAGGAGAGGATTCTCCTATGGGGAGGAGCTTGGCCCAGGCCCTGCCTGCAATGGACTGGCAGGCTGGGGACCACCCACTCCTCTGCAGGGAGCAGCGTGACAGGAGGGAAGAAATAGGCCTTGGACACAAGCATTCTGGGCTGAGACCCTGGCTCGGCCGTTTCCAAAGGTGGATCACTTCCTCTAACCTGTGTGTCTCCATATGTGAATGGTGGGGGCAGTGGCCTCTGCTCCCGTGTAGGGCAGGGGTTTGGAGGGGTGATAACCAGCACTAGGCCTCAGTGGGTGCTCAGGGAATGGCAGCTCCTGCCTCGTCCCTCCAGCTCAAATGAGAGCCGCTTAATAAATGCTTATACTTGCTATAATAGAGACTTGTTTTTCCTTCCGGCTGCAGTTGGCTTGCCTGTTAGCCCCAAGAAGTGCCACCAGGGGGTGTGAGTGGTAACAACATTAGCCAGGAAGCAGCCGGTCAGGGTCTGGCAGTCTTCTCCGGAGACCTGCTGACTTGTGCGGCTTTTGGACTTTTGCCTATCAGTGGAAAATGTCTCTTCTGATTACTTGCAGAATATCTGGTTGATCATCTTGCACGAACTTTGACTCTGTCAGTGTTTCCAGCTCTGAACCTGAATTGGAACTAATTTGTCGACAGGACTTGTATTAGCAAGTGTCTTTCATCCTACTGTTCCCAAACTGTGAGGTGAAGTGTGCACCACAGAGAACTCACAAGGGGAACGGTGATGGTGACATCTGGGGACACTACCTAGACTACTAGCTTGAGACAGTTCGGTTTCAATGGCTGCACTGCATTCTTTTGAGGATGTATCTTTATGAAGGTAGGTTTTTGGAGGCTGCTGTGACAAAAAAGGTTCTTTAGGGGGATAGTGTGGAGCAGGACGTGAAGGGGATGGTGTCCAGTGATTTCAAAGGTGGAGAAGCTGTGTGTGCCCAACAGGATATACATTCCGTTAGTAATTATGGTTGTTTAAGAAGGAAATTTATCTTCCAGTTTATGTGTTGTTATGCAAATGGTTACTAGATTGTTAGGATAAAGACTTATTACTTGACCCAATTATTTAACAGATGAAGCTTGCTTTAGTCTGGGGCACCTTGGAAAAATGACACAAAAGGCTGTGAACCAAGGAAGTCTGGAAGCTTAGGCTTTAATTCTGAAGAAATCCGTAAGTCTTTCAGAGTACCCCAGTGATATTAATACCCTTCCCAACCACTCTGATCAAAGGGAGTTGGAAGGGACACTTCAAAACACAAGGTGTGTTAGAAGTCTGGGCCAGCCCCAGGGAGAACAGGCTGAAAGGATGCTCTCGAGGGAGAAAGGCTGCCCTTCTAATCCAGGCCAGCTGCCCACCTGGCCACCTCTCCTCTCTGGACCTCAGTGTCCTCATCTGTACAGTGAGGGCTGGACTCTGATGAGGATGTTAATGAGAACTAATATTTAATGCCCACTTAACAGAGTCCAGGGACTGTGCTCAGAACTTTATTCATTGTTTGCATCTTACAATAGCCTAGGAGGTGATATCATCTCATTTTACAGACAGAGACGCTGAAGATCAGACTGGTGACCTGCTCAAGGTCACTGGATATAAAGGAGCAGAGCTGGGATCCTGGGGAGGTAAGCCTCACTCTAGAGCTACCAGCTCCCCTACCTCGCTAAAGGCCTTTCCAGGGGTATTAGCTTGTACATCCTGGGCATTTTTTTACTGAAGTTCAAGAGCATGCATGCCCAGGTGGAAGCATGGTCAGCAATCACCTAATCACCAAATCCACAGGCCATTTTCCTTTGCTTAACTGCCCGCACGCTTTATACCAGGGGTCTCTCCTTCCTTCTTGGAACACTCCCTCTTGTTTTCTTTAGTATTCATATTCATTTTATTTCATCAGTAAATAAAAGGGAATAAAAGCAATTCTTTAAGTTCTTTTAAAGATCTCAGGAATAATAATATGTGAGAGGCATATAGTTTTGTCCTTTATTTCCTCATCACCATGGAGACAGTCTCCCCTTGGTCCTTGTCCTGACTTCCTTAACACTCGTCCTGGCTGACTTCACCAATGTGCCCGACTGATGGCTGCTTCTACCATCTTTCCACCATATACGTGTCCACCCCCATTACAATCTGAGCTCCTTCAGGTCAGGCATGTGGATTCCACACCTCTGTCCCCAGCCTGGGCCAAGCATCTGGTACAGAGCAGGGGTTTGGTAACAACAGTTGGCTGGACTTGGCCAAAGCCACTCTAACCCAGATCAGAGCAGAGCAAAAGGAGGCTCCTAGAACTCCATGCTCCAGCCAGACATTCTCAAACGAACAGTTCTTAACCCTCTTTGGGCCACAGACCCCTGTGAAAATCTGGTAAATAAAAAATGTGTGTGGGTCCACCCGTGCCACATGTAGAATATAATTCCAGGAGTACATGAATCTTATGAATGAACTGACTAGGATTAGAACTTCTGCATTGACTGGTGTATATTACCAGTAAGGAAATCTGTCCATGATCCACTGTTACATGAAAAAACATGGTACAGAACAAATGAACACAACCTCATTTTAATAAAAGACATAACTACATGTTTATATATGCATATCAAAGGGGGGTTACCTCAGAAGAGGACTGGGGGACAGAGAGACTTTTGCTTTTTGGGGTACCATTCTTTTATAATGAGTCTCTATTAATTTGAAAGTAAAAAGATCAAACAAAATCTTTAAAAAAAAAACCCCAAAACCTGACATTAAAGCCTGGGTGTGCAACCAATTAGCATCTGACCTGGGGCCAGTGGGGTGCTGACATCATCATGTGATGCTCCACATCCTGGATCCTCCCTGGGGAGCATCAGAGGGTGTGCAGACTTGCTGTGACCCCATGTGCACTTTGACCTCTGATCCTTGGCACCTCACCCTCCACCCCTACCCTCCTGGCAGGGATCTGTTTCTCAGATCTTCCAGCTGAAAATGCTAAAGAAAACCGCTGCCTTCCTTACTGCCCGCCCCTGAAGAGAAAGGAGGGGTGGTCTGCCTGACCAAAGGCAGCTGTCTGGGCCACCTAAAGCCAACCCTGCTGAGGTCCTGGACTGGGGGGAGGCAGAGGTCCGAGGGGCCGGCTCTAGGGGGCTTGAGCAGCAGGTCTGGGCCTGGCAAGTCCACGCGTTGTGCTTGGAGCTTGTCTGGCTGCCCTGGGGAGGTGAGGAGTGGAGTCCCTGTCCTCTTCTACTATATTAGGGTTGTTTACCTTGTTGCCTGGGACTCTGAGAACCTCAGCAGCGCAACAGCTGAGGAGCCTGGTGACTAAGCTCCCCAGCACGGGCGTTCATCTCCAGGATACTTCACACTCTCTTGCCCTCCTCCCACCCGCCTCTCAGGAGGGACAGCTGAGCCTTCTCTGGTGGCCTGGGGAGGGGACTGCAGCTGAGGAGGTCAGGCACGTGGCCCTGGCATCCCAGCAGGAGATGATGACCCATGCTGGCAAGAACTAAGCACGTGCTTTGGTCAGTGGTGGGGCGGGCAAGGGTGGAGCTGGCTTATTTGACAGAGTGTGTATGAAGTTTGGGGTAATACCTACGGATAGTCCCCTCTCTCAACCCGTTGCCCCGAGGCCCATACTCTCCAGCTCCAACACCTGGTCATGTACCAGCCAGGGAAGCCAGCCCTATTCACATCGCAATCCCCTCACCCCTTAAAGTTGCAGGCACCCAAGACAGTGGCGCCAGCAATGTCCACTCTGCGTGGGGCCTGAGCAGGCTGGACCTGCTTGTCCTGGCTATTTGGTCCCTTTCCTCTGGGGAATCAAAGTGTCCTGAAAAAAAGCCATCTGAAAAGGTCCATCTTTGAATTAGCTTATTTCACACTGCCCACAGGCCAAGGAAATGGCCCATGGAAATGTTTCTGATTAGGAAGTCTTTGTGGTTAGCCCTTATTCTTAGCTGAATTTAAGGTCAAGGGCAAGGTGGCTTCCACTCAAGGTGAGGGGAAGAGTTGGGGTAGGAGAAAGGATATCTGAAGGAGAGGAGGGCTGACACCCTCAAGGTCTGCTGGGCCTGGATGGTGTGATCTGACAGAAGCAGGCCTCGGTTCCAGGCCTGGTTGTGGGGCTGTGGGCAAGGTGCAGACCCTCTCTGGTCTTCAGTTCTAACATCACGGAGATGAGGGAGTAGGAGATGTGACTCAGGCCTCTGCCTCTAATTAAAATCCTAGAAGCACGAGTCTTCTTCCCCTGCCCCTTCCTGAGAGGGTCAAAGCCGAACTCTGTAGTTGGATAAACCTGGGGCTCTCACGAAGTCTCATTGCCTCATATTGTCCATCTCCCAGGACTGATTACATCCAGTCAACAGGAGGCAGAGTCAGATCTGGTTCCCAAAGGGCTCCTGTCAGGGGGGCTCCTCTTAGGGAGGCTCCTGTCAGGGGGAGACTGTGTTCTTGCTATTACCTTCCTATCCGCTGTGAAGTTTAAGAGTTTCAGCTCAGTATGAATTTCGTGACAATCCAATCATCTTCCAGGTTTTGACTTGCCCAAGGGGCCTGGCATCAGGAGGGGCCCAGGTTGCACACACAGCCTCACGCTCCCACTTACATACACACGCACCAAGTGTGGCTGCCAGGCGGGGACATGTGACCAGGACTGTTCCCCCTTCCAGCTCCAGCTGACCCAGGGCAGCCAGGACAGCCAGGCTCCACTAGAGAGAGTCAGAGCCATGGCCACCCTGTGATGAACCCCGAAGGAAGGCAGAGGGAAGGCGACGGGCCTCTGGCCCCCGCGCCCCGCAGCCTCGGGGCCCGGCATACCTTTTTGACGGCACACTGGAAGCCGGTCTGCTTGTCTTCCATCCTGTGGACCTCTCCAAAGGAGCCTCTGCCCAGGCAGGGCTGGCGCGTGGCCCAGTGGACCTCCTCTCGGTACTCATAATCCACCGGCTTGAGTTTCTGCGGTTGGCAGGAGAGAGAGGCCGGTTTCAGTGGCCAGGGCAGTGGAGGGATGAAGGTTACAGTGAGGAAGGCTTGCCAGCTGGTGGCCTGTGCCAGGCTGCTGGGCCGAGCTGAGCCCTCACCACAGAAGACACCAGCTGGTCTCAGGCAGGGCTTGGGGTCAGTGGAGGGTGGGGTAGGGTCGGGGGGACAGGACCACCGCAGAGGGGGTGGTAGGAAGCAGGCGAAGGCAAAGGAGAGCTTCACAGTCTCCCTGAGGTAATCTGATCCTTGCAATGAAAAAACCTCCTCCCCAGACTTGTGGTTGTGGGACAGAAATGAAATTGTCAACGACCTTGACCATGAAACAACATGACTGCAGCTAAAAGGTGAAAGAAAGGGAAGGACAATGAAGAGGGGCAGAGAACAAGGGATAATGTCAGAGATGGATGGGATGGGATAACATCCAGAAATCTAAGTTTGGGAAAATCATGTAATGTTACAAAGTTATCCAGTAAACTAGAGAGGGAGAAAAAAGTTATGACAAACCTAGACAGCATATTAAAAAGCAGAGACATCACTTTGCCGACAAAGGCCTTTATAGTCAAAGCTATGGTTTTCCCAGTGGTCACATATGGATGTGAAAGTGGACCATAAAGAAGGCAGAGTGCCAAAGAATTGATGCTTTCAAACTGTGGTGTTGGAGAAGACGTTTGTGAGTCTTCTGGACAAGCAAGGAGATCAAACCTGTCAATACGAAAGGAAATCAACCCTGAATATTCGTTGGAAGGAATGATGCTGAAGCTCCAATACTTTGGCCACCTGATGCAAAGAACTGACTCATTAGAAAAGACCCTGATGCTGGGAAAGATTGAGAGCAAGAGGAGAAGGGGGCGACAGAGGATGAGATGGTTGGATGGCATCATTGACTCAATGAACATGACTTTGAGCAAACTCTGGGAGATAGTGAAGGACAGGGAAGCCTGGTGTGCTGCAGTCATGGGGTCACAAAGAGTCAGACATGGCTTAGCGACTGAACAACAAGAGGAGGAAGGTGAAGGAAAGGGGGAAGTGAAGATGGACAGCCCTGGAGGTGGAGGTGGAGGTGGAGGGGGTGGTGATGGCATGTGTCTGTGTGTTTGGGGACTACTTGCCTCGATAAGTAGGACCCCCTCGCTGTCCTCAGTTTCGGGGTTGGGCTCCTGGGGCCTGGAGCCCCCCACTGACCAGGTCTTGGCCAGGCTGGCCAGGCTGTGGGCCTGGCCGGAGCTCACGCTGCCTTGCAGAGCATGTACCAGGTACTCCTCCACGGACAGCTTGTCACTTGAGCCACGAGATGGGCAGCTGGGCTTCAGGTGAGGGCTGGGCAGGGGCTTCTGGCTGTCTACACAGGCCAGTCTGCTCAGGTGAGGGCCGGGCAGGGGCTGCTGGCCGTCTACACAGTTTGCCAGTTTGCCGAGGAAGAAGGACTCTAGCGGGTGAGGCTTCCAGGGCTGGAGAGGGTGGAACGGGAAGGGATGAGGCAGCCTGCTGTAGGGGAAGGCCTGGGGCAGGGGGCCAGTGTCCTGTGGGTGGTGGACTTTCCACACGTGGTTCAGACACTGCAGGGGGCTGATCAGTTTGTGGAGTTCTGGTCGAGGCAGCGCTGGCCGCAGGCCCTCCCCGAGCTTCTTAAACCAGAGCTGACCAAGGCCTGGCTCCTTCAGAGGCTTGGTGAACTGCGGGGCATTTCTAACATATGGGGGACCCAGTGGAGACTCATCTTCCTGCAGGGGAAACACAGTGTTAGGACATGGAGCTGCAGTCAAGGTGCGGGCTTTCTGCAGGCCCTGAGCCCGGATAGTGCCTGGGGTGAGCCCGGCACGGGGGTTGGGGTGGGGGTGGGCCTCACCTGCACCGGGACTGTGCAGCTCTCCTGCTCGGGTGTCCTGGGGAGGGGTTTGGCCAAGGCCACCCCCGCCTGAGCCGGGGACTTGGAGCTCTTCTTCTTGCGTTTCTTCCGGGCTTTGCTGCGGCGCTTCCCCTTCCAGCACACACGGGCCATTTTACCCTCGGTCGAGTGGGCCACATTGTTGGGAATCTGATCAAGACTCTCAGACTGGCTGTCAGACAGACACATCTGGGTGTGAGGAGGTGCAGGTAACTGCGATGGAGTCAGAGACCCGAGGTCACATCCCAGCTTAGTCAGGACTTGCAGGAACACGGGACAGTTCCTGAGCCCCAAGGACTGTCCGGATCCTCACTGGTAAAGAGGAGGCAGTCTTTTCTGCCAGGTGGGGTGGAGATGGGGTTTAAATGAAACAGCTCATTTAAAAAGGCTACCTGGGGGGCTTCCCTGGTGGCTGAGTGGTGTAGAGTCCACCTGCTGGTGTGGGAGACGTGGGTTTGATCCCTGGTCAGGGAGGATCCCACATGCCTCAGTGCAGCTATAGAGCAACTACAGAGCCTGCCCTCTGGAGCTCGGGAGCCACAGCTACTGAGTCCACACGCCACAACTACTGAAGCCCTAGCGCCCTAGAGCCCATGCTCCACAACAGGAGAAGCTGCTGCAATGAGAAGCCTGCGCATTGCAACTAGAGAGTAGCCCCCTGCTTGCCACAACTAGAGAAAGGGCCGCATAGCATCGAAGACTCAGCACAGCCAAAAATAAATAAACAATTATTAAAAGAAAGAAAGAAAAGGCTACCTTGGTGTCTGGTCCCAAGGCAAGACTCTGATAAACAGTGGTTATTACTAAGGTAAGAGCCTGCACATTGCTCTTTTGATGTGGATGGAGAGAGACTAGGGGGGCTGCCTGTGGAGAGGGCCCAGAAGGGGGCATGTGGCTCAGAAGGCCACACCCCATGGCAGGCATTCTCAGCTCTGAGTTGGTTTCTGTGGCCTCTGGACCAAGGACAGTTGACGCTGGTCACCTCCACCCCCACCAGCCCTGGGCCCACCTAGCTCCCCCAGGAATGTGAGGAGCGGCATAAACAGACACCCTGCCCAGGCTGGTGCCTGGGTACCAGGGGAGCCAGCCCTGCTGTGACAGCTGGAGGCTGAGCATCACCATGGCTCTAACTTGGCTCTCGCCCCTCTGGATATCAAGGCCCCGGTGGTCCTTCTGAAAGGGCTGCTGCCAAACAGCTGTGGAGCCAACCACGGCCTCAGATGCTCTCCCATGGCCTCGTCTCCTGCCCCCATGAAGGAGGCCGACTCGACCCAGTTCTGGGGATTGCTAGGGGCCTGGGGGTTTCTCAGGCAGCGGAAAGAAGTGAGTCCATCAGAAACCGCCAACCCTGGGCCAAAAGGCATCGGGCTGGCATAAGGAATCTGACCAAACAGGGAACATTTTTTGGTTCAAGGCCAGGTGCCCTCCTAAAACCTTTTCATCACTAGTGCTTCCCAAACTCCAGTGATTAAGAAGTCTGCCTGGGGAGAGAGGAGGACCTATGTCCAGGTTTGACCTCCAGTTGCCAAGAACCAGTCTTTGGGGCTGGGGAGCCTGGAAACAGACCGAGCCTCACTCAGCTTCCTTTCCACAGGGCCAGTGAGCTGCGAGTCCGCCCCTGCCTGTTTCCAAGCCCTCATCCCTCCCTGGGTGTGTCTCGCAGAGGGAAGGACATGGGAGGTTTCTTCCCGAGTGGCTTCTCTGGGCCTGCACTTGTGGTCACGCACCGGCGGCAAGGTGCCTCCTGTTCCCAGCACCTCCCTACTGATGGGAACCGAGGGGAGCATCAGGGGCTCCGCGGAGAATACAAATAAAACGTCAAGCTGATATGACCCAGAGGCAGTCATCCACACGCTGGGAGCAGCTTTTGAAAAGCTTATTTGGCTGGGAGAGTGGCTCAGCCAGGAAGCCTGGGCAGGTTCCAAGAGCCGAACCACAGGTGCTGAAGGCGGGAGCCAGGGGTCATTTGGGAGCGGCTGGGGCGAGCAGCTGGGGTGGGGACGCTGCCTCTGTGTCAGCTCGGGGCGCCCCACTCAGGCTGACCGCCTTACCTGTACTGTTTTGAGCCAGCGATGAAGATCCGTTCTGAAAATGTGGGGCTGAACTCTTGGCTATTCTCACCTTTTAATTAAAGGAAAAGGGGATGGACGAGCAGAAAGGAGAAAGAAGAGGATTCGGCACTTAGGAGAGCGGCACTTTGCAGATACCCTCCTGGCCATTCCTCTCATGGCGACCTCACCCTGCCCTCCCAGCCTGGGGGTCAAGGGCACCGGGCGTGCCTACAACATGGGATCATTTAAGGGCGCCCATCCCACTTCGCCCACTGTGAGGTGTAAGTGAGATGGTCCATATAAAACACTCGACACAGTGCCTGGCACACGGCTCAGTATATACTATTATATACGTGTGTGGGTCGAACTACCATTACTATGCCACTCACTCCACTTTAATTTTTATTCTCTCATCTCTCGTCAAAGACCAGCCAGAAGGAAGCGGAAGATGCAGGGTAGGATGGGCGTATGTGGGAAAATACCATCAGCAGCTGTCAGTCTTGCCAGGCTCCACCCCAAAACTTCCTGGGGCGGGGAGGGAAGGTGTGGGGAGGGAGGGGATTCCTGACCCTACCCGCCCCCTTGGGAGTTTCTCAGGCTCTGGTGGCAGCCATCATTCTGAACCATCTTGAAGTCCTGCTAGCAGAAGCAGAAGGACCAGACAGGGCCTCACCCTGCCCTGCAGGCCTGAGGGCAGGTGTTCATGCTTTGGGGTGGGGGCCGCCTTGAGGTGAAGCGATGAAGAGCCTAATGCCCCAGAGCGGCTTTCCGGGAGACCTGGCCTTTCCTGTCTGGGCCTCTCCAGAGATGCTTAGGCTGCCCGAGGTCCCAGCAGAAGGTGGGTGGGTGGGGGGGGTGCCCTGCCTGATGATGCTGCAGACTCCTCAGCACCTTGGAGCCCACGCATCCCTGCCTCCCAGCTCCCTTCCCCTGCTCTGGTCACCATGGGCAATGCCTCATTGGCCACCTCTCCCTTCCTGCGCGTCCGCCCTGGCACTGTCCTAGCTCCCACGTCACACTGATTCCTGGCTTAACCCCTGGTCCTATCTTGTGAGTGTCTCCTATGGTGCTCACCCTGACCACCCTCTTCCACAAGGGGACCATAAGCCCAGCCCTACCTGTGGCCAACCACCCTTGTTCAAAAGCTGTGCCCACCCTCTCTCTCTGCCCCTCACCCTGCCCCGAAGCCCGGGACCCTTACATTCGGCCTGGGCGATGATGGAGATGGCGGCTGGCCCAGCTTCAGAGCCATCCTTGGCTGTTCCTTTGGTGATCACGTCGTTCAGGATCTCCCACTTCCCGCAGAATACGGGGCTCTTCTCCACGGCCTCCAGCTTGTGGACGGAGCTCTGCTTCTTCCCCATCACCTGTGTCTTCTCCTTGGCTTTGGCGAACTCCTTCTGCTGCCCGACCGTGGAGCCGGGGGCGCCTGGGCAGGCCATTTCCATCACTGCCATCTCCCAGGCTCACGCTCACCCTGTGAGAGAGACCACACGCAGAGCAGGTCACCCCCAGACCCCAGGGCAGGCTGCAGTGGGAGGAGAAAAACAGGGGGCAGAGGGCCTTTGCCCCCTCAGGACACATGTATTTATCCTCCAAATGATCCAAATGGCAACCTGACCACGGTCTCATGCGGAGTGAGCCCACCGGCCCTACCAGCTCTTCCCCTCCACTCCACAAAAAGAACTCTGGCCCGCCTCCTCTGGGACAGCTGTGGATCAATGTCTGGGTTGGTTCTTTCTTGCCTTTGTAAATAATGGCTGAGTCGTCTTCTGCTGTTTGTTTTGTGGTGAACTTTGCTTCCGCAGAACAGGGTGGTGGATCCCATACTCCAAAGCCATTAGTCACCTCACCGATTCTGCACAAGCCTTGTCTTCTTAGAGGACATGCCTGTGCCACCCACTGAGGGCTTTTCTCCAAGCGGAGAGAATCGAGGTTTTGTTTTGTTTCCAAGTTGCAGGTAGAGGTATGCATGTACATATGTGAGTGCATGTGCATGTGTGTGTATATATATATACACACACACACACATACATGCATGTGTATATATATATATAGATTTGCATGTGTGTCTATTTATATATACACACATTATATACAGACACATGTGAAATCTTGTAAAACCTAAAAACCATGCAAGCAGCAACACCAGAACTTGGCTCCTTTCCTGAGCTGCATCTGTTTGTGGCTTTCCAGAAGGGACTGACATGCTTCCTTCTGTAATGTCCAAACTCATTTGCTGAAAACCTCTTTCGGGTATCGTTTTTCTTTCAGGCAACGTTAGTAATGGAATTTGTATTACAGCCCACATACCCCACCACCAACTGACACCTCTAGAAATATGAGGAAAAAGCACAAGAATTCATCTCTCTCTGGGCTCTGTCTCCCCCAGCTCTGCATTCCCACAGAGCCAGATGGGAAAGAGAGTGTACTGTTGTGACAATTTGTGCAAAGAGCACGCGGGCTGGAGTGGTCACAAAACAGAACAGTGCTGCCCTGAGATTGTTAGCAGTTGGGAAGTTTTTTAGAGACTGGGGCTCTGAACTCCCAAGGGCAGTGCCCTATGGGGTCATGACTTGTTTGTGACAAAGCCTAAGAACTGCAGACACTTTCATAAGTGCTCTTTGATGGCAGCTTGGTCCTCAGGCTGCTGCTAACAGATGAGGTCTTCTCTGTGGTAGCTCCATTCATCCTCAATCACGCCTCTGTCTGCTCTTGAGAGATGAAGACAGACCACAGGAAGCCAGGCCTCTATACATCTGCCCTTGTGCATGATTAGGCTGGAAGCTTCCAAGAGACAGTGGGCCACTGGGAAACTCTAGGCTGAAACCTCCTGCCTACAGCATCTGCCTCACCACAGCAGACACAAAAGGCTAAGGCAGCTTGACTGGGGTGTAGGGGGTGGGGGAAGGTTTCGGTTGCCATGAATTTGATGCTCACATCTCTGCCTTCAAGGGCCTGCTAGCTTTGAACTCAGAGTGGTTCCAGCTTTTAGCCTGGGTGCCGGTGTGGCCCTGCAGGCTGGACGCTCAGGTGGCTGAATGGGTGGCCTCACTGTTTCTTGATGACCTTAAGAAGTCTAAGGGGTGCTCTGACTTCAATTAGATGAAAGCCCTCCAAGGCTGGCTGTTCTACTTATAAGAGTACTTTCATCCCACTCCACACCTCTGCAGCCCCTGTCCATCTCCAAAAGGATTTGATCCAGGGCCTAGGGTAGGGCCTACCTCTCTCAGCCTCTTTATAAGAGAAACGAAATCTTACAAACAGACCCCCAGCACTCCAAATCTAACAGTATTAGAGATATGCCTACAGGGACACTGCTTCAATCTCCTCATTTTCACGGTGGCCTAATTAGGCAGAGACTTGTCGGAGATCACCAGTCTGCATGGGGTCGTGCGGAACTGGGCCTATTGGGCTGTGCTGTCCACTCCCCAGTCCCTGGGCTGCAGGCAAGGGGGAATGTCATGGGCCTCCCTGGGCAGAAGGCTCCTGAGGGCAGAGATGGTGCCCCTGGTGTGCAGCAGAGCAGGGCACAGGGGTGCTGGCTGCAGGAGGGAATCAAGGATGATGCTGGGCATCTTGGGATGAAGAGAGTTTCACCAGATGGTGAGAGAAGAGGCCAGTGGTCAGTCTTGTTCTGAGGCACCCGCCTGTTCAGAGCCAAGCTGCACTCGGGCTCATGTGGCCTTTCCTGCCTGACATGGCTCACCCGGAGCTGGCGCTCCTCCAGAGAGGCGTGGGGTGCCCCTCCGCCACGAGCTGTCCTTTCACCTTGGTGGCTGGGTGGGCAGCTGGCCAGGGGCCCTGGTCCTTCCTCTGCGAGCACTCCAGGCTCCCCGTCCCAGAGAAACCGAGGCCAAGGCAGCCGAGGTCGGGGCCGCCTCCTCTGCAGTGCCCTGATGACTCACCCGGCAGCCTGGCAGGCAGAGAGAGGAACAAGGGAGCTTGAGAAGCTAACCCAGCAGCTGGCTGCTGAACCTGTGAAGGGCACGGGGAAAACAGGCTGACCCTTGCCTCCCGGGGGCACGAAACCGTGGCCTGGGAGTTGTACAGCTTCTCCTGTGTCTGCCTTTCCGGTGCCACATGACTATGACTCAGACTCTCATCAACTGTCTCCAAGTTCAAGAGGCTATTCTCAGGACACTCTGGCCGGACAGCAGCGCTCAACATATATACACGCTTGCTTCCTCACTCCCTCCCCACTTCCACGTGGGTTCTGATCTACAAAACATGGGCTTCTGCACTAAGCCTGGGACTGCTGGTTGGGTGGGCCTGCCCAGCTCTGGGCTCTGGGCCCTGGCTTGCTGCCCCAGCCTGGAGCCTGCAGCTCTGCCCCTTCTCTCGCTCCTGCAGCTCGCGGGAAGTGAGGACTAAGTGGGAGCCTGCTGTGTCTCTGCCTTTGAAGGCAAGTCAAAATCCTGATTCATTACTCAGCTGGATGCTCTCCACAGCTCCACTCAGGCCTTAGATGCACTCTTTCCTCTGCTGCATGTGTCAGAGCTGAGGATGTGAGCAGTGGCAACAGCCACACCCGCTCGGCTCACTCACAAGGCCATGAACGCACAGGGGAAGGGAAAGGGGCAGAATTAAGTCAGTCTTCTCGTAGGGCCTGATCCACGTACACTGCCTGTTCTCTTTTGTGGGGCCTCCGTGACCCCCTGGAAGGGCCTGGGGGTGGGAAAGACGGGGAGAGCCCCAGGTCAACCCCTGGGCACATCTGTGACACAGCTGCAGCGGACAAGGTTCCTGGGCTCCAGCTCAGCTCCCTCGCCAGCTTAGTAAAGATCTTCTGTCCAAGCTGAGGAGTTTTCAACGTGGGTTCAAGGATGGCTTCAGGGAGGTCTGGGAGCCCTAGGAACTTTATTGGTGTTTTTCCAGGGAAGAGGTCCATAGGTTTCATCATATTTCCCAAGGGTCTGACATTCCTCAGAAGGTTGTTCTAGTCTTCCCAGAAGACCAAGGCCAGGGCTAAACGCTTGATTCTGGCTCAGTTCTTCTATGCCAAGGAAGAGCTCACCAAGGCAGCGCTATCCTACCCAAGTTACAATAACTAGATGGGTTTTCAAACGTACTTGCCCTAGGTCTACTGAGCCAGTCACTGGGCATTAGGCCCAGAATCTGTACTTCTGACAAGTTCTCTGGATGACTCTAATGCCCAGTGGCCAGGGACTGCCATCCGACCCCTGCTCTATACTTGTCAGGCTGTACTGTCAATATGGCAGCCACTGGCCACGTGGCTATTTACATTTATTTTATTTTTCTATTTTTCTTTTATTTTGTATTGGAGGCTTTCCTGGTGGCTCAGATGGTAAAGAATCTGCTAGCAATGTAGGAGACCTGGGTTTGATCCCTGGGTGGGAAAGATCTCCTGGAGAAGGGAATGGCAACCCACTCTAGTATTCTTGCCTGGAGAATCCCATGGACAGAGGAGCCTGGTGCATTCTTAGTATTGGAGTATAGCTGATTAACAATGTTGTTGATAGTTTCACATGGACAGCAAAGGGACTCAGCCATACATATACATGTATCCATTCTCCCACAAACTCCCTTCCCATTCAGGCTGTCACAGGGCATTTAGCAGAGTTCCCTGTGCTGTACTGTAGGTGACATTCAAATCAATTCATTTAAAATAAAATTTAAAAATCAGTTCTTCAGTTATACTAGCTACCATATAGGAGAGTTCACACAGAAAACCTCTATCACTGTAGAAAGTGCTATTAGACAGTTCCTGTCTGAGACCATTACAGCAATGCTTTCTTGGACAGCAAACTTTCTCTTCCTAGGATTCTGGAATAGGAATGGGGTTTAGATGAAATGATTGCTTGATTAAACTGGAAGGCACAGAGTAATGTTTAAAATTTTGATCTTCAGTGGTGATGACCTTTCTAAAATGTATCATATTTCAGTTCCCTGTTTTAGTAAGGAGAGTAAAAACACCAGATTGGGGACCAGAAGATATGAGTTCTAGCCGTGGAGGCTTTTTATTAAAAGGCAACAGGACCATTTTTATTAAAAGAAATCATACCTCAACCCTCACAATATAAAAGACCTGGAAATGTGCAACTGACACGTAACTCAAATTAGAGACAGCTGCTCCACTGAAGGTGGGCCAGGGCCCCACACACTCAGCTTGCCTCCATCCACCAAGGAACTCTTGCAGCATCCCAGGCCTTCAAGGAAAAGAGTCTGAAAACTACTGACCTAGGAAATCACTTGAGGTTCCTTCTCGTTCCCCAAATGCCACTGATTTGTCAGGATTTTTTGAAGGCTAGATGACTTCGATTCAGAATGATAGTTAATATTTCCTAAGCACCGCCATTATTAGTGTCAATTTCAGAATGAAAACTGAGGTTTAGAGAAGTTCAGTAGCCTGGCAAAACAGTCACACGGTGACAAGTTGCAGAGGTGCAGCTGGACTCATGCTGTTGCCTCTCCAGTCAGCTTGCTTGGCCAAGAG